ATAAGAGCCAAGGTGACGAAGCGCCGTCGACTCCGGGAGTCGATGGCTTGGGTGAATTTGATTCGTCGGCTCGGGGAGCCGACGCACCCTACGTAATGGGGGTTTCCGCCAATGGTTGGCGTCGAGGTATTAAAGTCGCGACGGTTCCGGGAACCGGCGCCGCGAAAAGGAACTTCGCGTCGACTCCGGGAGTCGACGTACCCCTTGTAATAAAGGGCTCCGCCAATAACAGGCGTCGAGGTAAAGATGGCGTGTCGACTCCGGGAGTCGACGCTGCAGGCGGTGCGGACGGTTGCAAACGTCCCGCACCGGAACGACTTGCATGCTGTCGTGCAGCCGGGCTGCACGACGAAGTTTCGGACGCTGAGAGAACGAAGAGCGAGAATGAAGAATTGAGGCAGTTCTTCATGGAGAGCACCACTGAGAGCGAGGACACTCTCAGTGCGAAGACTAAGAAGGAGCGCTTTGAGAAGCAGAGCTGGGACTCGCTGAAGACGAGTCCCTTCTACGAGATTCTACGGGAGCACGCGGACGTGCTTCCGGAAGAGATCCCTGCGGAGCTTCCGCAGGACAAGGGCATCCAGCACGAGATTGATCTCGTGCCGGGCACGAAGTACTGTGTGGCCACTGCCGCGAGAGCAGGTCAAGGCGATCGACGACTTCTTTGAGAGTCGTCGCAAAGCTGGACAAGTGCGGGAATCGAAGTCCCCGCACAGTGCTCCGACGTTCTGTGTCAAGAAGCCACAGGGCGGCTGGCGCATCGTTCATGCGTACAACAAGCTGAACAATGCGACAATACCGGCGCAGACACCGATACCGCGAAAAGATGTCATCATCGATTCGATGGCCAGGAGCACTATCTACAGTGCTCTTGATCTGCGCGATGGGTTCTATCAGATCTTCATGCGTGAGAGCGATATCCCTCTCACGGCTGTGAGCACGCCGAGCGGCATGCTCTGGGAGTGGCTAGTGATGCCGCAGGGTCTGAAGAACGCCCCTGCGACCTTTAATAGGTGCGGGACGCACTTGTTGCGCTCGGTGCGCGACTTCGCACCGAGCTACTTCGACGATGTGTTCGTCCACAGCCGGGCTGCGGACGGGATGAGTGATGTTGAGATGCACAAGGTGCATCTCCGGAAGCTGCTTGCGCTCATGCGCAAGCACAAGCTCTATGCGAACCTGAAGAAGTTCATCTTCGGGGCGAGCGAGATACCCGTGCTCGGGTGTCTCGTTGGGAAGAACGGTGTCCGCCCTGACGCTGAGAAGGTCAGAGTGATCAATGAGTGGCCGACGCCGTCGAACGTTAAGGAACTGCGGCAGTTCCTTGGCTTGGCCACGTACTTGTGTAAGTACGTGAAGGACTACGCGGGCATGATACGCCCGCTGTCACAGCTCCTGAAGAAGGACACCGAGGGGGGTTGGACTGCTGAGTGTCAGTAGGCCTTCGATGCAGTCAAGCGGGGCTTGACTGAGGCGCCGATCTTGGCGGTGGCCGACCAAGATCGCCCATTCCATGTTGTGTGTGACGCATCCGACTTCGCAATCGGATGTGCGTTGATGCAGCACGATCACGAGGGCCGTGATCGTGTCGTCTACTACCAATCGCGTCAGCTGAAGCCAGCTGAACGCAACTACCCGGTACATGACAAGGAGCTCCTTGCCATGAAGTACGCCCTCGCGAAGTTCCGAGTGCATCTACTCGGAAGCAAACCGTTCGTGGTCTATACGGACCACGCGTCACTGCGGACGGCTGTGCAGTCGTCGCACATCTCGCAACGGATGGCGAGATGTCTCTCATTCTTCGCGGAGTATAACTTCCGGGTTGAGTACAAACCTGGAAGACTCAATGTGGTGGCCGACGCGCTCTCGCGTCGACCTGACTACGCCACGACTGCTGCCGACGTCAATGCCATTGACGCCATGCGATCGAGCACCCCAACGTCGTCACTGTTGGACGACGTGAAGGTTGCGGACGCGCACGACGCGGACGCGAAGCTCTTGCTGGCCTACGGCTCAGCGCCTTCTGACAAAGCTCGTCAGAAGCTGCCGAAGCATCTTCGTGCTCGTGCACACCGTTATCGGGTGCACGACGGGTTACTACTCTACAGTGCAGTCGACGACAACGCGGTCCGCGTTGTCGTGCCCAATGACCATGACCTGCGACTCAGGATCATGTACGAGTATCACGATGCACCGACGGCGGGGCATCCGGGCCGTGAGAAGACATACCTTCTTCTCACGCGAGACTTCTACTGGGCCCACCAGTATAAATGGGTGCGCAAGTACGTCCGTGCTTGCGAGGTTTGTCAACGTGTGAAGCCTGCGCCTTTCGCGCAGGCTCCCTCGCAGTCACTGCCGACTCCGTCGGAGTGTTGGCAGTCCATGTCTTTGGACTTCGTGTTCGGTCTTCCCCCGGACAGCCAGGGGAACACGGGCATTGTGGTCTTTGTTGACCGCTTCAGCAAGATGGTACATACCCGCTGAAGTGACTGCGAAGCAGACGGCGCATCTGTTCGTTGACATGGTGTTCAAACACCATGGCATGCCGATCGACATAGTGTCGGATCGAGACCCGCGCTTCACTGCGCATCTCTGACAAGAAGTGTTTACACTTCTTGGGAGTCAACTTTCGATGTCGACTGCGGACCATCCGCAGACGGACGGGCAGACCGAGCGCGTGAACCGCGTGCTCGTTGACGTGCTTAAGAGCTACGCTCACTCGTTCCAACACTGGAGCGAGTGTCTGCCGATGGCGGAGTTCGCCATCAACAACTCGGTGCATGCCTCGACTGGACGTACACCGTTCTACGTGAATGCCATGAGGCACCCACGCCTCCCGAGTCTACTCGGGATGGTGGCTCCTTCCTTAAGTAGGGGAGGATCTACGACTGCAACACAGCAGCCGCAGAATGCCACTGACACTTGCACAGTGTCAGCCGCGACTACGCGCAAGAAGAAGAAGAAGCACGCGTCTGTGCAGGGCACAGACGCCGACAAGAGCAAGAAGAAGAAGAAGAACGGGTCTGTGCAGGGCACAGACACCGCGAAGACGAACGCAGAGGCCGGGCTTACTGCTAGAAACGAGCTGAACGAGATCAGCTCGGACGTAATCAACTTCGTGCAGCGCAGACAAGCCGTCATTCGGTTTGTCCAAGACGCTATTGCAGCTTCTGTTGATCGACAGAAGCTGAACGCAGACAACGTTGGTAGGGGCAACACAAATGAATTCAAGAAGGGTTCATTGGTTTTGTTAGCAACTCAAAACCTGCCTAAACATGCGGTTTCCGACTTCGAGGCGAGCAAGCTCGCTCCGCGCTTCATCGGGCCGTTAACTGTGCTGGCACGGCACGGCAACGCCTACACACTGGACATACCGTCTAGTATGCGCCTCCATCCGACCTTTTACGTCGGGCGGCTGAAACCATACCGGCAGCACGAGCCACCTAGCTCGGCGGGCCCGAAGCGGAAGCCCCAGCGGGAGCGAACCTCGGCTCCAGCGCGCGAACGCGCTGGACCAAGCGCACGACGCGACCTCCCACGTCGACAGAGATGTCCGACGCGGTCTGCGAGGCCTGAGCAACTTGAGCTCTCAGGGTCGCCATATCCTGCTTCAGAGCGGCGAACTCACGGCTCTAAAGCTGCTCCACAGCAGCGACCCGCTCCTCGAGCGTCGGGCCAAGGTCAACCCTAGGTTGACCATACCCGGGGCGTGTTCCCACCACCGCCGCCTCCGATCCGCGACGCCCACGGCTCAACACGCTGGATTGTTGAGCGTATTGTGAACCATAGTATCCGGAAAACGAACCGGCAGCCGGTTCGTTATCGTATTCGTTGGAGAGGGTTTCCGCCCCACCATGATTCATGGGAGCCGCGGGACGTCCTGTTGCAGGACGTTCCGGAAATGGTGAGGGCGTATGAAGCTCACCACGCACTGCCGACGCGAAGGTAGTGCGAGCGCTGTGGTCACCTACAGCGCCCGAAGCCCCACGATCGTCGCGTTCCTTGCGTGCCAAGAACTTGGCACGGAGATCCTTGAGACTCTCAGGTACACGAATCGTCGTGTACCCGTTTAGGTCGCGGTCGCTCAAGCGCGCCGCACCCGGAAGACACAACGTGCACTGATGGCCTTCGGGCACAGCGCATGGGATACCAACGTCCACAGAGGATCTGTGGAGCTGCTCCAGCCTCCCGCGCGTCGAGAATGTCTCGAAGCGTTCACGGGCATGCTTAACCCGCTCGCGGTAAGCAGCCGGCTTCTTGTTGAAGTTCTCAACAAAAGCATTCCAACTTTGACAATGTGCCTGCCACTCAGGCACTTTGCTGCGAGAAGAGGTCTTCTTGCTGGAGAAGTATCGGAGCTCGTGAAAGAGTCCGATATAGTAATTGCGCATTTGATTCGTTAACGGATCAAAGTGCTGCTCCTCCGCCACAGCATCATCGTGGATCCCGCTGCATACGTACAGCGGGATTTCGTTTGGAGGCACAGTGTTGCCCACACGGTTTGCGATCTCTGACGCAGACAGCATCCACGGATCGCGCGCTGCCTGAGCAGCGCGCGGAGAGCTTGAAGTCACCACATCACGTGGGGAGCTTAAAGCCCCAGCAGCAGAGAGCGGAGTGTCGCTCTCGCCGCGCGAACGCTTCGAACTCGAAGCGTCCGAGTCGTCTCTTTCACGAGGGCGTCTCGACCCGGCATGCGGGTCGAGACTATCACTGTCGATAGACTCCTTGCGTTTGTTGGAAGAGGCCTCGCCCTCTTTCATCTCCACGTCGTCGTCTTCGTAGTCAACGGCGTCGTTGACTACAGAGGAACCTTCGAGGACAATCTCCGACTGGGTTGTCCGCCCCGCAGCCTTGGCAGCAAGAGCGTCACGCTTTGCTTTGTGACGCTCGCGGTACTCGGGGATGGAGAGTCTCTATCCCGGTGGAGGACTTCGCCTCTGCTGCAGCGTCGGTCTTCTTCTGAGGCGAGCTCATTGCGCAATGAGCTCGAGTTTTCTTTCTTCCAACGTGAAGAATTGACGAATGGTCAATTTCCTGATTGACGTGCCGTGACTCGGCGCGTCTAACCTTGAGGAGGGATGGTGTAACAGGGTTATACGCACAAGTGGCTACAGTCACTTGTAACTCTAACAGACACGACGTCTGTTAGAGGTTCGAAAGACTTTCTCGACTTTGGTGTAGACAGACCAAAGGCTACATACATTTACGATCACCACGACGGGTGGTCCATAGAGACTTAGGATTCCTATTGGTTGAGAGCAGCATCTTTTAGCCAATGAGCAACATGCATAGCATTGGAATCCTGCCAACCAGCCGTTGGCAGATTCCTAGTTTAGAATATTACATTTAGAGGAAGTCAGAAACATAAAACAAAAATAGCAGTTCTCATTTTAACCCAAAAATATTATTTCGATCGTTTATTTAGATTAATCTATACTCGGAGGCCCGAGTATAATTAACTCTAATTTAAACTAAGCTACGCTTCCTCACATACACGCGCACACGTGTAAGCTAAAGTAGTGAGCCAAAGTAGGCCCACTACAGCCTCCGTCTACCCGGGAGACATTTCTTGTAGCGTCTCGGCCCCGGGCCGAGACTTGCGCAGCGATCTTCGCATGCGCCATCTTCTTGTCCTGCAGAGCCCGGCTCCGCATGACTCTTGACCTCGTCCACGCCCAGCCGTGGACGGGTGTTCTTCTTCAGTACCGCCGGCGGGTACGTCCCGCGGGCGAGTGACTTCAAGCCCGGCTTGGACGCCCGGCGCTTCGTCGTGCAGCCCGGCTGCACGACAGCATGCAAGTTGTTCCGGTGCGGGACGTTTGCAACCGTCCGCACCGCCTGCAGCGTCGACTCCCGGAGTCGACACGCCATCTTTACCTCGACGCCTGTTATTGGCGGAGCCCTTTATTACAAGGGGTACGTCGACTCTCGGAGTCGACGCGAAATTCCTTTTCGCGGCGCCGGTTCCCGGAACCGTCGCGACTTTAATACCTCGACGCCAACCATTGGCGGAAACCCCCATTACGTAGGGTGCGTCGGCTCCCCGAGCCGACGAATCAAATTCACCCAAGCCATCGACTCCCGGAGTCGACGGCGCTTCGTCACCTTGGCTCTTATTATTGGCCAAAACGGATCCAATTAGATTCACGTCAGCCTCCACGGCTAAGGCGTGTGACTCGCCTGCGTCATCCGTGCCCCGTGAGCTCGGAGACTCTTTCTGATTCGCTGAAAAGCGGGTGTCGATCTCCGAGATCAACACATTTTCTCCTTCAGCCGTCGGCGGCGACGCCGACGCTTGCTGCTCTTGCGCGCGCGCCCAGGGCGCTCCGGGACAGCGGCATTAGGTGCTGTCTCGAGTGGGGAGTCGCGCGCATCTGTCGGTGCGTGCGTAGCGGCAACAAGGCCATCGCTCACTGTACCGCTGTCGCGACCGAAGCGCACGAGTGTGCGCTTCTCCCAATCGATGACCGGATCATGCCGTGCAAGCCACGCCATGCCCAATACAATGTCAAACTTATCACCCAGATCCAGGACGATAAAGGTCTCGACAAACGCTTGATCTTCATACGTGAAGCGCACGCGCACCATGCGCTTCCCAGTCTTCACGACGGCACCCGTTGCCAGTCGTACCTCCAACATACTTCGAGGTATCTTTACCTCCTCGAAGTCAAGCCTTGATAGACTTCGCAGTCGAACAAAGTTGTTCGACGCGCCCGAATCAACCAAAGCACGAAGAGAGTTGCTCTCTCTCTTCGAAGACACGTCCAAGATGACAAGGTTCGGTTTGTCATCATGCATTTTGCAGTGAGAAGGGTCCTCACTGGGGGCTGCAGTCCTCAGTGTCGCATGTCCGAGTTGGACACGCGTGACTACTTCACCAGTAGGGCGCCCCGCGCCTACTGAGTTCCAGCGTTTTTTGTTTGTCCGCGACGATGCCGGGCATCATCGCGTCGACCACCATCTCGGTGCAGGGGTGCCGTGCACTCTCGGGCATAGTGACCGATCCTTCCGCAACGGAAGCATCGTACATTACTTCCTTGTTGCTGTTGATAATCAGCAGCCGTTGCATTCGAGAGGTCCATTGGTTCCGGACCTCCCGCTATCGCAACCGGAGGCGGTCGCAGCCTCGGCGCATTCGCATGCAGCTTGGCCTGTCGCAGGCTAAACTCCTCATGCATTGCAAAAGTAATTGCAGCTTCGAGAGTACTCGGGTACTCACGGAAGAGATAGGTCTTCACAGGCCCATCTCTCAGTCCTTTCATGAACGTGACGACCTTGGTCGCCTCGTCGATCGGATTGGTCTCAATGTTCGAGACCAAATACCGCGCTCTCTGGGCGTAAGCATGAACATCATGCTTACCCTGCTGTAGGTCGAGGAACTCTGCCCTCGACCGAAACTCATTTTGCGGGGGCTCAAACGCTTGTCTGAGCTCTTCCTTGAAACCCTCGTACGTGCTGAAGCACGTAGGATCAGAGAGTCGGCGCCCATACGCCCAACCTCTCGCTCGTCCGCCAAGGCATGACATGGCGAACGCAACCTTGGACAACGGGTCGACGATACGTCGAGCCGCGATGGCAGTGTCGGGTTCGACAAGCCAACGGAGGAGAGGCTCGCCCTCTCTTCCGACATAGTCGCTCCCATTGAGCTTCAACGATTGTCCACGCGGTGTCGTCTCCGATGCTACCGTGGTAGAGGAAGCAGCAGCACGCTGCTCCTTCATGATGAACCCCAGAGCAACACCATGTTGCTCTGTCGGTGATTGCGTACGCAGCATCGCAGCTATTGCAGCCTCCCCAATGACTGTTGACAGTCGTTGGAGTGCCTCCCACTCTGGATCCGACAGGTGGAGGCAGTCAGCGCGTGCAACATGAGTTGCAGGCGAAGTGGAGCTTTCCATGGGCACCTCCGCGCTCATGAAAAGGTTCTCGGCTCCTCGTTCGTACAGCTCCGTACGAACGTTCAGGTAGTTGGTCGTTGGACGGACTACGAAGTGCTACCAGGTAATGGGCCTACCTTGGCTCACTACTACGGCTTACACGTGTGCGCACGTGTATGAGGAAGTGTAGGTTTCTTTTACTTGAGTTAAGTATACTCGAGATCCACGAGTATACTTTAAACAAGATAAAGACTCCAAGTAGCGGGTTTTGGTAAAAGATGAGAACTGTTATTTTTGTTTTATGTTTCTGACTTCCTCTAAATGTAATATTCTAAACTAGGAATCTGCCAACGGCTGGTTGGCAGGATTCTGCTAACATGCAAGTCACTCGTTGGCTAAAAGATGCTGCTTTCAGCCAATAGGAATCCTAAATGTGTATGGACCACCCGTCGTGGTGGTCGTAAATGTATGTAGCCATTGGTGTACCTTACACCAAGGTCGAGGAAGTGTTCAAACCTCTAACAGACATCGCATCTGTTAGAGTAACAAGTGACTGTAGCCACTTGTGCGTGTAACCCCGTTACACGGTGGACGGAAGTCTAGACGACTGTATGTACGGAACATACGTACCGTCGACCCAAGCCTGGACGTGGCGCAGCTCGCACGTCAACGACCGACTTGACGATGTCCGCATCCTTGCCACTATTCGAAGACCGACTCGAGAGGACCCGTTCCGGTTTCTCGGTATCAAGTGGTTCGCTAAAGAACACCCAGCCGTGCTGTCTGGGATCACTCAGCAGAGAGACTTACTCGTCGTGGAGGCTACTGGGCTCACGCGTGACTCGAGAGGCGAAAGAGTTGGCTACTACCTCATGCACTCGGTCTCGTTGCCGGAAATTCCAGAACTCTCGGGCATGGGTATCATCTGAGGCAGTGTGAGCTTGTGCTTTATCGACCGACAAAGCGGTCCTGGCAAAGTGGAGCTGTACTGCCGTGGCTTTAGTGACCCGTGTTGCACAATGATGGATCGAGTATCTGTTGCGATTGCGTCCGGAGCGCTGATTTCCGCCACGAAGGTGGTCGACTACGCATACGTCAAGAAACTCACGTGGCTCATCAGACATAAGCGCGTCTCTCAACAGCAGGAGACTATAACTTCTCGTCCAAGTCGCTGTAGCAGCTGCTGGAAGAGTTTCACCAAGTTCGCGTTCAACGGCGTGGGCTTGGGGGCTCCGTTTTGTACCATCCGTTGAGAGAGACCCACGGTTGCCTGAGCCGCTAAAACGGGATAGATTTCGTAGCAATTGCTCATCCATCGGTCCAGGAGCTTGATCGACAGACTGTCAGCTCGTCCGTTCAACAGTACCGTGGCTCCGCCCCCGCGAATAGAGTGGGTGGAATACCTCGTTGGTGGAACACCGATCCTTGTCGCCAACGGTTTCAGGGCCCGCGGTGTCAAGGCCCGCACACAAATGCACCGAGCGATCGTAGCTTAGCTCCTGACGGGCACGTAGTATGTGGTGGAGTGCCTGGTTGGGGCACAGCAGCGGATCATTCGTTGCGTGCATTGTTCGCCATGCTCCTCTTCCGTACTGGTCGTTCTTCGACCCAGCCAGCCCGATAGTCACCGACACAGCAGCGCGTTCTGAAGTAGGGCACCCGGTCTTGTCCGAAAAGTTGGCGTTCGCTGTCTTCAAGCAGAACGGGTGTTTTCGCGATCCGTCTCGCAGATACTCTGAACGCCGCAGGAGAAAGAAGTATCCAAGTAGCACGGAGCCCCAGAGAAGACGGCTTCGGGGCGGAGAGGTGTCCAGGCTGCAGTCGGAGGAAGACCGGGGTGATTGGTTGCTTCTTCGTCACGGGATCAGATACACGCTTGATACCTTGCATGAGTATCTCGAGGCTGGGAGATCCTTGAGGATTAACACCGAGGTACCGGCGGTGGTACCACTTGATACTGGTAATCTTGAGGCGGTTTGTGTCGTACTGGTTGCCTTTGCCGGAGCCGTTCCAGCCGTAGCACCAGCAGTAAACAGCATGCATTCCAATCTTCCTATCGAACTCACTGATGTCGTCGTGAATCCAGGGAGACCACTTCATGAATGCACAGAATTGCTCCCACTGCTTCCAGTTCGCGCGGTACTTGGCTCCGGTAGTCTCAGCAACGGCGCGGTCGCGCAGCATGCGTCCCAAAGCTGAGAGAGATCGGTGTAAGGCGGTGCGACCTGTACCTGTGCCCACCCATTAGAGAGGTTAGTCCATGTGTCGAATAGTGGGTTCTCATGTGACCAGGCTCGCGACCCAGCGTCTGCCATAATATTCTCCACCCCGGGGACGTGCTCCGCGTTGCACACCAGCGAGTAATTGAATTCTGCCAGCGCTGTCAGCCGGTTGTACATTTGTGCGAGTGGTTGGCGGCTTGTCCGTCGTTGGGTCCATGACACGGCCACCGCGTTGTTAATCCAGAAGGAAACATGGATGAGCCGGTGCGGCGATCTTGCTGACCATATGGGGCCCCAGTGGAGCGCGGCCAATACTGCGCTCTGCAACTCTCTCACGTTGATAGAGTTCACCGACATGTCTGTGGGGAACATATGCTGCTCGGCTTCCGTGAACTTCACGCGGATAAATTGCTTTAGTGATGGCTCCAGAGCGCAGAGGCCGTCGTTGGACGCGTCCATCTGCACGTGCACAGTGAGCGCAGCCATGTTGGCAAAGTGATCGACGGGAATGCTGTTGAACCGGTCGCTGTTCTGCAGAATCAGCTGGAGCCACTTCAGGTCTTCCATTGCCTCCGCGGTGACGTGCCGGCGACCGTACCTGCTGATTCGCCATGCCTTGGACGCGTTGGAAGAACGCGCACGCGGGAGGGCAGCACGTAGTGATGTGGCGTAGGCTTCCGAGCAGGCTCAGCGCCGATGTTTTGGTCACTGTGCCGGCTGCAAGGACAGCAGCAATATTCCGTTGAGTGCGCAGGATTTTGTCAGCAGGGATTGTTACTGTTCCGTCTTGCGTGTTCCACTCGAGGTCCAGTGCTCGGCCGCGTTCGTTCCACTCCGTGAACTTGCGTTCGTTGATTGCCGTCGGACCTAGCACGGTGGCCATTGTTCTGCGTAGAGCGAGGTTGGCAACGAAGCATCGGGTTCCGTCGTCAATCTCGATGCAGGTGTGGTCGTCACACCAAAACAGACCCTGGAGAGGGGATTGTGCGAAAGCATCGTAGCCCGACCCTGCCTCGTAGGGTCCATTGATTAACTCTCCTGGCAGCGAGTACCACGCGGCAGATCCGCACCACCCGAATCCGCAGGAGAGGTCGATCACGAGGTATTCGCCGATGATAAAAGAAAACATGTGAACGTTGTCCGCGTTGACCGGCACGTGCCGAAACGCACCGGCGACGTCGCCGAGCATGAGCAGTATCCGTGCGTACGGATGATCTCTACGTAGAGTGAAGATTCTCCGAGCGATGTCCCCTGGTGGGTTGTAAGAGATTCCTGGTAGATGTGATCGGTCCGTGTAGTCGTTTACCGAGTCACCTTCAGGGAATGAGTAGTCGTGTATGAGTCGGATATCGAGTGGTACTGCCCCCACCTTGTTCACCACGCCCACCGGGGAAATGAACAGCTCTGCCCAGTGGTCTACCATTGATGCCTTCAGGACGAGGTAACGGCCGTCTGTCTGGCCCTTGCGAATATGACGCCAGACTTGTGGGAGATGGTCGTTGATGGAGCTTTGGTTGCGGGGCCGGCGTGCTTGGTTTGGCGGGCGGTGCGGGAGCCACTCGGGTATGACACCGTGACGCACCACCTCGTTCCAGCGCCCCCATTCGTCGCGCAGCTTGTCCGTTGGTGGGCGTGGCAGCTCGTATAGATCTTTGTTAGGGCGCGGGTCGTCTGTTGTCTCGCCTCGGATGAGGCGTACGAAGTCGGGGAGTGTTAACTGAGATGTTTCGGCCAGTCGGGAGAGGAAGGTCGTCGACGTGGTCATCGTCTGGCTGGTTAGCTGGAACTGCTATGCCCAGGGCCGATGCCGTTTTGGCTATGTTGTTCGCGATTTCTGCTCGACAGTGTACACGTAATTTTTCCAAAGTCTTCATGTATTTTGTGTGGTCAGCGACCAATTGTTGGCGGTTGCCGCTAGACAAAGCTGTTGACCGAGAGGTTGCTGGCTCTACTTGGGTAGCGGCGACCGGGGCGGAAGACTGGAGTGCGCGCACAGCCGAGGCGGAGATCCGGCAGCTTCATAGGCTTGCGTACTCGGGGGCAAGGCCTCCGAATCTCTTAGTGATGAATTCTTTCACTTCCGCTGGCAACGTCGCGGGTCGGAAGTGCACGCGCTGAGATGACAAACACATACCAGGCTTGCCGTTGCCGGTGCACCCCGCCTTCGACAAATGCTTCAGGCACAGCGGGGTAGATCCCTGCTTCGGGAGAAGGCGAAGATGACAGTGGACGTGTCCGACACTGGATCGGTGAAGCAGTGCGCCATCCGCTTCTGTGTGGGGTGTCTGCTTGAAGCGAAGGAGAAGTGCGTGAGGGAACTGGCGCAAAGTGGTGTCGAAACTGCTTCGGAGTGTTCATCAACCTCCAGGTCACAATGATAGGCACTTCTGAACTACTTCATGTATTTTGTATGAATACATGAAGCTTTTTTTACTTTTAAAAAGTATCGCAACCTACCACCTTCCGTCGTCCTTGTAGTGCGGTCTGACCAAAGCGTATCGAATAACAAAAGACGTCAATGCACGTGCCACCCGCGAGGAGATGTTTGGGACTCCGGTCGCAGACTGGCGACGTATCACTTCGTGCCATTCGAGTCCGGATACCCCGATGGCGCTGCTAGAGGTGTCGCTTGGCCAAAAGCGTAGGATTAACTGTAGGCAGTCCTCGGATCCTTCAAAACACACGTGCTTGCTGGCGGGAACTGCCAAACCTGAAGAGTGTTGTGGCGCGGCGCCTTTCCCAAATCCCGCGAGTGGAAACTTTCCCGGACATCAATGTCTCATCTTTGGCCCAGAATATTTTTTACGGTCGCTGATTGGTTCGGACGGGTGTGCCAAAATGTTGGTACAATCTCAAAGTCTGCAGAATCCGTGGTCTCGAGGTCTGGTCTACAAAACAAGAGCATGTTTTCGGGGTACCCGGCACCCCTGAAAAGGGCATTGCTGCGGTTAAGTTGATCCCGTTCCCAGAAGCACATGGGAATGCGTGCGGTCCTTCCCTGAATCCTGGAATAAGGTGGAGTTCGGCACGAGTTATCGACCTGTATTCGGGGTGCTTTCCGGATTGCCCAAGATATTCTCAAGATTGCCACTCTATGGAGCCTGTTATCCCGGACTTGCTTCCCACAAAACTCAAGAAGGCCTTCAACCAAGGTTCCTCCCAGACCCCAGACTCAATCATCACGGGAATCCCAAGACTCTCGCGATGATTTCGTATCATCTCAAGATCTGAGGTTTACCCACGACAGCGACTCTTCAAGCTTCGATAAAAATCAGGACCAACACTCTGGAGAAAGATCCAGTAGTCAACCCAGCGACCAGGCGGCGCTGGAAAGATCGTCTTTGCATGTAGTCTTTAACTAAAACAGAGTTCGTTTTTCCCTCAAGTGCCGAAGTCGTGTTGGGCCGATGCCCTGAGAGCGTTCTCCACCAAAACTTCAAAGTTCTTTAGGTAAGGGATCCATTGCGAAAGCCTGGGCGTGAACTTATCTATTCCATATTCTGCACATACGCCGTGTTGGCTTGGTGTGTTATATATTGCGGGAGTAAGCGTATAGTGAGGCTCCTGAGAGTGATTTGTATCGGTATTAGGCTGTATAAGTCGATAGTTGATTGAATTGCTATTCTCCTCTTAGAGGAGTGGTGCGCGTCCACAAGACTGTCCAAGTGTCTTGGGTTTGGACCGAAGACTTGGAGATTTGGCCTTAGTTCTGGGCCTAGAGAAAGAAGAGAGGACAAGAGGTATCTGTGTGATTGTATATTGTGATTAACTCTGTATATTTGGATTGAAGTGTTTGTTGGCGTTGACTGGTGTGGATTCTTGAGTCGCGGGGTTGATACTAATCGCCGATCAAAAGAACCGATCACAACGGAATACACAAGCGTGAGCCTGACCAGCGGTGTGCTGATATTTCTCAAGCAGCTCACTGCGTGGACGATCCTAGCTCTCTAGCTCGTGGTCGTCTGCCTATCGAGCCACATTCTCAAGACTTGCTTTTGCTCTACCGACACAAAAGGCACTCGCGCCTCGTCACAGTGTTGTCCAAAGTAGGGAACTCTGCTGCAATGTTACTTCGGAGTCGCTCGTCTACCGCCCTGTTGCCTTCTTGGTTAAAGTGCAGCCCATCAACCAGCAGAGCATTTCGGTCCGACTCGGACATGGGGTTGAAGTACGAGTTCAAGTCCAGTACGGGGGCTTTGAGCGTCTCGGACGCGTCGACACAAGCAAGAGCATATTCCTTGGTCATGGCGTTCGACCGATCGACGAAACCTCGCTTGGAGTCCGTACGTTCTTGAGCCATCTCGACTCTGGCGGAATCGTTGACATGGGGTGGGGTGATCTGTAGAAGCTGAGCGGTTGGTGCTGCTACCCACAGACCGCTGACGATCTTGATCAAATTCTCCTTGTAGTCGCCAATCGGGACGTTTGTCTCTGCGTCGCTCCCGTTCCACAATGCTGCGTCGTTGGCGCCAAGTTGGGGTCAACGAGTTTGATTCAAACTGTGATGAGCGATGGAGTGGAGTACGCTTTCGCCCTGATCTCGCGTTCGACGAGAGGCACCACGTCCTTTAAGAACCACCCCCGAGAGTCCGTGTGTGACGACGACCGACGAACGCGTGTATCGAGACTTCAGCAGCGTGACCCAGCCTTGTGTCGTAGGGTCTGTGCCCTTCTCCGTGAGAGAGTCTCCTAAGAGCAGCAATACCGGACGAGAATGCGACCGGACTCCCGAATTCCCCGCTATCTTTATGACCGACCAAGCAACTGCTATTGTGACGAAGAGAGAGGCGAGCATTCCGCAAACCGTGTGCACTGAAGGCGTCATTGCCTCCGCAGCAGATTCACTTGTGGGGTCGGGCGTTTTGATACCTTTGTCGGGTCATGCATCCATGTATCCAGTGCCAGGGTGTGCGTCATCGCACCGCGCCACGGCTCAAGGCAATGCACTTGTTCGTTTTGAGACGCCTCTAACTAATCGCCTCTAATATCGTGTGCTGAGCTAACTTGGACTGAGTACACTGACTGTACTGTACTAAGCAGTGATTGGAAAAAATATCTTGGACTTTATTGCGGATTAAAATTTAAACTGCAGGACACTATTGGCGTGGTAAATGCAATACCAATACTCAATTACATGCCCAAGCAATATTGCAATACTCGATTGGAACGCAGGAAAAATTGCCTGTTTGGTAGTAGCCTATAGTTTAATTCTAGCTATCGTTACTGTGGGAACGCTTTACGGCATCCGCAACAAGTCGTCTGTCCCAGAAAGACCTAATTCGAACTGTATTTGTTTTCTGGAGCATCGTCGCATTGCGCAAGATCGCGCCCAACCTGTTTCGACGATCCGCCATTACGCACTTGATAGAAATAAAAAGCCTTTCTACCGAAGATGATGTACCGAGCAGAAAGCTCAAGTCTTAACGCTAGTAGCAATTGTTAGCCGATAACCAGCTGGTGTGGTAAATACAATATTGGATAGCAGGGGTCGGACAATACAGTATGGAATTGTATTGCGAGGCCAAAGCTGCAGTAGTAATAACGACAATATGAGGGCAACCAATAATAATAATTGGTACAATTTAAGTATATTGTACCATTCGTGACATGAGCTATTCATTGCCAAAATGTGACAGGAAGGCCGCAACTTCACGCGAACTTTACGCAAACGTCCCATGGCTGATATCGGACTATTACTGAGGTGTCAGGCCAACCTATACAGTGAGAAAATACAGGTGGAGGCTGATGGCGATTACAATAGTCCTGTACTATTTCCAGGACGGTTTTGGGAAGTGTTGCTGTCCGGCAAAGCGCTATTGAGTATACACCGCTTGCTCCACAAAAGCCTCGCAACCCAAGGCTGTGTCCTCGACCCGAAAAATAGAGATTATAATAGAGGCTTTCAGAAGCACGTGTTTTTGGCAAAAACCCGTAGCGAAAAACACGTAGCGATCCGATCTATTTTTGGCACAGGCGACGCTACGTGTTTTTCGATCCCGTAAACCCGTGAGAGGGGGTCCGCTACGGGGTAATCAAACCGAAATATACCTAAGGAAGCAGCATGCCTAAGCTTCTTCGTTAGGGTGGGTGGGGGGCCCTGGATGACAAATAGTTGGTCGTGGGCGCATGTGCCGTCTGTTAGAGGCCGAGTGCTCCTCGTTGGCGACATTAGCTTGTGTGTGTACTCCGTTATCTGTTGCTATCGGCCTGTCAAGACTCCATCTGCCCACTTGTCATCCAAGGACCAGCGTGGGCGGCCGGTAGGCTCCTACGCCGCCCTAAATCAAGCCAAGGGGCGAGCAGCGCCTTCCAAACCTACCTGGAGTTTGAAGAGACCACAGCCGACGCGCCGTATTGAGTCCACTACAGCTATAAATGCCCGAAAACCATCATGCAACCCCCAAGAAAGTATGCATCCATTTCTTGAACTTGGTGAGGCGTGGATTTCGTTGCTACCTATTCCGGTGCCAACTCGAGGCATGCTGGAAGTATCGAGCTTCATACGCCAGAAAGCGAGTAGACCGAACTATCATGGACCTACAAAAAACTTTACAAATTGAAACTTACAACACCCAACGCAGGTAAATTAGATGAAGACGCTGCAGACAACCGAGACACGTGTTCATGGTGGATGCAACACCAACAGATTCATCGAAGGCACGGAATGAACATGGCTAACAGTAAGAAGGCATTAATTTAAAAAAAACGGAACAATTTTTACTTTACTTCACTATACTGTACATCTATGTTGGCCCAGCGATGGCGCGTGGGCGTAGGCGCTGCCGACGTGTTCGCCGAATGACGGCGCTCACAACTAAAGTTTGTTGAGCCGAGGTTCCAGCTTAAAACGCTGCGTGCACTCGGAAGATTCCACGCTACGTAGTTTTGCCACGGGTTTTTGATTTTCCGTATCGCTGAACAGCCGACCACAACGGAAACCCCGTAGTCAAAAACACGTATCAGCGCTACGTGTTTTTCACTACGTATTTTTAGAAATACCGTGCTTCTGAAAGCCTCTAATAGTTTATTATAGCATTTTCATCATTTATGAACGCCCAACCCCAGAATTCATAGTATTTGATATTGTATTGCTATTATTGGGGCAATATCATATTGTATTTGAACTTCCAATAATAAATAATTGTAGTGGGACAATACCATAATAATTGTTTTGCTATTATTTTTTCCGACCCCTGTTGGATAGCGATGGGCATTGCAATACTCGATTGGAAGCTCAGGCAGTATTGCAAGACACGATTGTACCGAGTGGTAACATTGACATCTATATTGCAATGCTACGGTACAGTTGCAATGCTTGCCAATACATTTTTTCCAATCACTGGTACTAAGTTAGCTGCATCGAATCATTGAGTTCAGCAAATGACTTAGCGTGTGGTGACTGCTTGCAGTCTGCAGCGGAGCCCTTCATTGCATTCAAAATGCAACTTCAGCTTTTTTCGGGTCAGCTTCAAGGTGGCGACTAACGTTAGCGTTTTCAAAAGATTCTGAATTTACCCTCGGTAAGCCCAGGGTGACTAGCTCTAAACTAGGTCGTCTTCGACTTGGCTGGGAACACCAGTGGTATAAACGCTGGTGATGGTACCGGTGCTAATTGCCATGATAAGGGAGAACTGTGGCCCGCGTGATTCAAGGGTGCCCGCAGGGGCCACACCCATGAATATCGCGCGTGCCGCAATTCACTTTCTGAAGCTGGTGCATGGGTCTGTTGACGTGCATTTCCTGCCTCAGTCTGTAGTTGCCGTTGAACCTGTTCGATCGACATCCTTCTGGCTGGTGTAGCACGAAGGTTGCGCCAGGTTACGCTTACGCGTCCAATTAATCCGTTGGGAGCTGTCCACCCCCTCATTCTTCGGGTGTTCCCAGTATAACGCTTGGGTGCAAGTTGATATCTTTTGTCATCACTAACTACATGTAATGTACCTGGAATTCACTACAGCAGCACACCCATGATATGAGTCCAGCCAGTTGGCACCACTGCCCCAGCAACTCGACATCCACGTCGATACACAAGTGCAAGGATTGCATCTATTACTAGAAATGCTTCCTACAACCTCACGGTCCCACGAAATGTAGCCATAATCCAAATACTACCACCAGGGGTTCAAATAAAGGATCTGTCTTATACCCCCGGGGGCACAATTTATATGTCGGCCACTGACGTGTGATGCTGAATTCACCCTCTGCCTTTTCATTCCTGAACTTTCCGTCTACAGCGCAGGCCTCCAGCTTCAACTTCGCTCAATGCCGTCCCACTCCGCACCTGAGACCGAGCCCGCCGCCAAGCGCCAGCGCCTGGAGGACCGCAACGTCCTGGCCATGAAGCCCCTCGTGCCGCCCGCCTGCGTGCTGGAGGAGCTGCCCGTTACCGACGAGGTTCACGACCTGGTGGACGCCACGCGCGCCGCCGTGTCGCGCATCCTGCACGGCCAGGACGACCGCCTCGTGGTGGTCGTGGGCCCGTGCTCGATCCACGACGTGGACGCCGCGATGGACTACGCGAAGCGCCTCAAGGCGCTGGCCGACGAGCTCAAGGGCGAGCTGCTGGTCATCATGCGCACGTACTTCGAGAAGCCGCGCACCACCGTCGGCTGGAAGGGGCTCATCAACGACCCGGACCTGGACCAGTCCTTCAGGATCAACAAGGGCATCCACATCGCGCGCAAGCTGCTGCTGGACGTCAACGCGCTGGGGCTGCCCGTGAGCCTCGAGTTCCTGGACACCATCTCGCCGCAGTTCACGTCCGACCTCATCTCGTGGGGAGCCATCGGAGCGCGCACGACCGAGTCACAGCTGCACCGCGAGCTCACGAGCGGTCTGTCGATGCCTGTGGGCTTCAAGAACGGCACGGGAGGCAACCCGAAGGTGGCGGTGGACGCTGCGGTGGCCTCTTCGCAGCCCCACAACTTCTTGGGATTGAACGAGCACGGCCTGGCGTCGATTGTGCGCACCAAGGGCAACAAGGACTGCCACGTGATCCTTCGTGGTGGATCGAGCGGCCCCAACTACGAGCAGAAGTTCATTGACGAGGCGGCGGAGATGCTGGTCAAGGCCAAGCAGCCGTCCAAGATCATGGTGGACTGCTCGCACGGCAACTCCCGCAAGCTGCACGCCAACCAGCCCAAGGTGGCCAGCTACCTCGCGGGCATCGTGGCGGAGGGATACTCGAACCTGCTGGGCGTCATGATCGAGTCCAACATCGTGGAGGGCAACCAGTCGCTTGGCGACGACCCCTCCAAGCTCGTCTACGGTAAGAGCATCACGGACGCGTGCATTAACTGGGAAGACACCGTCACGACGCTGAAGGAGCTCGCGGCCGCTGTCACCAAACGCCGTGAGGACGCCGCCAAGTAAATGTCGGATCAGATAGCTGTACATGTTCACTGTCGAGCGAGACTCAACCCGTAGACCTGTATCAATACCATACTCGTGCCCATGTCACTCGTCCGTCAAATTTCTTAAGCAAAAATGGTTGTGAGATAATTTGAAGTTGGCAAAAACGCAGCGTGGTAGTCTGGGGTAGTGCTGCTCAAACGACAACAGCTAGGATGCAAGTGGGGTCACTACCACGGGACGCTCATCCGACTCGGTTTGATCCGTCGTCGGACTGGCACTGGTACTACGGGTCTTGCGTGGCCGGAAGATGCTGGCTGTCTCGACGGAGCGCGAAAGCCTCGACCCCGACCTCGACCACCGGTGGGGCGTCTGTGAGATGGCGACGCTGATGAAGCCCATTCCCACACAACCAAATCTTCACCACGAACTCTGTATCGTTCAAAAACAAGGAATTGTTAGGTCATCGTTGAACTGCCCACCTTTTTCAGCGTGTTGTGCATGCACATACCTCATCAAGCGCGTGGTAATCCGTGAATCATCCTTCACGACAGCAGCAACTTTGGGCCAGACAGACTTGCAGAGCCATGCACGGTCTTGAAGAGACTGCTTCTCGAACAAGTCGTCACGCAAATGATCGGCTGGGTAGAACCGATCAGTCCGGCGCGTCCGGTCCAAGAGGAAGAAGCGCGCCTCTTTCACGAAACGATCGACGAGTTGGCGCTCCGTGCGGTACAGGAGGAACTGCCGGTACGCGAAGACCAACGCAGTTCCCAATGCCACCGCCACTGCAATCAACTTAATGTGAGAATACAGTTGGTGCTTGGCTCGGCACTGCCACGGCACAACACCTCCACCCACGACGAGCTGACTCTGGTCCTCAGTCACGAAGACATCCTTCAAGTTGCGTAGCGCCATGTCTAGGGCGCGATTAAACACGTACTCGCGGGGCAACGTCGACACTGCCTTCCCGAACGAGATCGTCCTTGTCACGAAAACCTGCACGTCAGAAAGCAGCACCTCGATCGACGCAGCCAGATCAAATGAAGGCTCCGGTGGCTCATTCGATGTAAGGTAGCTCCACAACGACACACTGTCACACGCGTTCGCAGCAGCTTTCTCCACAACGAACTTTTGGATACTGAGCGCAAGCTGGTCGAGGCTTTCTTGCACTTCAGGGTCTTCCTTACACAGTCCGTACTGCAACACATACGGCGGCGCGCAAGAGATTACGGAGCCATTAAGGCAGTTGCCATACACGGGGCACGGCTGGCACGTGGGCCGCGCAGCCACAGCAGTGCTGCTAATAAATGGCTGCAGGGCCTTCGACCGGTCAAAATGGTCTGCTGGATCAGCAAGCACGAACGAGCCGTCATTGGCGTCGACCCACTCGCTATCGCAGTACGGCAGTGGTGATTCCAGCAACTTCTTCACAAAAGGCGCTGCCACCACCATCACACAGAGTAGCAGCGCTCCCGAGATAAGCCGCAGCAAGAACTGGCGCCAGTTGAGGTGCATGACCTGGCTTAGTCGGTGGATCTTGCTCTCCGTGGTCTCTTCGTCCGTCTCGGCCTCCTCCTCCTCCAGCTGCACGCGCTCTTCCTCTCCGTCCTCTACGGGTACTTCCCCGTCCACCTTCTTCGCAGCCTCCTGAACATGCTCAACCAGCTGGAACAAGGTCCTCTCGACCTCCGGACTCTGCGGCGGCGTCTTGAATTCCTCCTCCATCTCCTCCCTTGGCTGCTCCTGCTTCATGGCCGAGTACTCGCTGCGTATCATGATGCGTCTGCGTCTCAGAGTCTCTCGCTCTCTCTTCTCACTATCGGTCAGCGCCTCCTCCGACGGGAACCGGCGCTTGACTCGCGGCGTGCTGGCGCGCAGCAGCGTCTGCAAGATGTCGTCGCCCTCCACCACCTCCAGACTCCCCACGTGCGGCACCTCCTGCAGATCCACGACGCCGCCATCTCCTTCTCCACTTCCACCAGCCAGAGGCAGTGCAGCCGCTGCAGTTGCCTCCTCTTTGCGTCTCTGGCGGCGAGACGGCGGCGTCTCCAGCAGCGTGGGGGTTGCACGATCCACGGCTCCAGGCTTGGGGCTCGTGACCGACGGGTCTGCGTAGCGGCTGAAGAGCGTGAGCTGCTCCACGGCCTTGGGCCTCGTGCGCTTCTGCTTCAGGTTCTGCCTCTGCCTGGGCGGCGGCGCCGGCGTGGAGGCTGCAGCTCTGGGGTTGGGAGGGGGAGCGCGCCGCGTCTTGAGCTTGGGGCGCGGCTTGTGGGCGACTGCGGAGGAGGAGGGCGGAGCTGCTGCAGCTGCCGGAGGGGCTTGTCGACGTCGCCGCTTGCTGCTGGAGGGCGCGGCGCTGCCTGAAGGCTTGCGCTTGGTGCGCACGGGCGGCTCCGGCGCGTCGTCCATCGTGAGGGCAACTGAGGTGCGCGTCAGTGCGGACAGGAGACTGTACCACGTTCTGGGTTCCATACAGACGATCACCGAAATGGATACACATGGACTCAGATTTCAATCTGGGTTTCAGATTTTGTTGCTCTAGAATCTAAACTTTAGATTCCATCAAACTTTTGCTTGCAGCCAAGAAAGATAATAATCAGCCGCGAAGAATGAGGGGTGGACAGCCCCAATGGAGTTGATTAATTGCGTACCCCAATGGGCAGGCATCAACAAACTAGGCACTTGGTACATAAACAATCCAAAGTACCTAAATGGAGTTTTCAAAATGTCCTTGTTTAAGAGAATGGCTTCAGGCTCGGTTCTATAGTAAATAGTGGTCCATTGATGGTTATGTCGTTGGTACATGTATTTCTCGGTGCTTTTATCTTATCTAGCGCAGTAACAACTGGGCTAGAACTACTAGAACCGCTCATTCCGTCGCCGCTACAATAACCACTGCCACCACCCTCCTCCCGTTACTTTCGTCACTATGCCTTCAAGCTTCGCGCCAATATAATTCGTGCTAGCTCGACCTCCCTCTGCTCTGTGCATTTGGCACGCCAATGAAGCTCTCATACATGACAGCGCATTCCGCGGCAGCCGTACCTGCCAAATTATGAGATGGGACTGGGTCGACCAGGCAATCGTAACAGACCAATATACCAAAGTAAGTATTTTAAATAATAAACTACCTACATGTAACCTGGCAATCGACTTATTATCAAATCTTCGTTACCTTACATTGACTTGTGGATACCACAGAACGAGCAAGGAGCAGCTACACTGTACCTGCGCTCTGTTGCGCATCATGGAATTTATCAGATATTATGGGTAACAACAGCTCTCTCTCTAGCTTGGTGGACCTGGCATCACCACCACACAGACTGAAATTCTTGATCAACGCAGTGTCGGGACTACCCGCGAATTAGTCCCGGTGTGAGAACGATTCACACTCGGCCCCATGAATATATCTCTTGCCAGGAACACAAACACTGTTGATAGCGACTTGTAGAACACATTCTCTAAATCATATGCTTCATTTGTCATACTAATATATAGATTTTTGTATGGTGCCTAATTCAAGATTTCCAAAGTGCCGATTTCAAGTCCAAATGGGTATTAGGCACAATATCCTAGTTTGTTGATGCCTGCCAATGGGGCTGATTAATTGCGTACCATAACGCGTAACTCGTCAACCTTCGTGCCACACCAGCTGGAAGAATGTCGATCCAGCAGTTGTCGATCAACATACTTTAAAAAGTGAGCAGCATCAGTACCAGCAGCACCCGCACTTTCCATTACTACCAGTGTTCCCAGTACGGTGGTAAAGCTAAATTTACCGACTTGCAGCATTGCACTCGAGAGCCCCAAGTACTAGGCTCGCCCATTGTTGCCCAAACAAGCCACTTTATCGTCTGTAACCCAGCCAAAGCAGATAGTGGCCTATAGTGTACTCCACTAACCTGTTATAATAGCTAATTTTACTGGACACTAACTAACAGTTATTTGAAAACTACACATGTTAGCAACACTGTATAGTCGGGGAAATGGACAGATTAGGAGATTACTTAGTAATCTGTACGGAAGCGTATTTACTAGCTGGTCTGGGTGTCTATGACTGCACCGAGGATTTTGACGTAGGCCTGAAGCACCTGAGTCGTCTTCACTCTTCAATTCGGTCATCATCTGCGTGATAAGTGGTGTTCCAGCCCCATATGAGCTCCACCCAACCTATACTTTCTAATTTTAGCAGATACTTCGAAGTATTATAGATTGGACGGGAAATTCATTGTTTTGAGGGCGTATTTGTGTTTCAGTTTGATACATCGCCCTTCTTGTCTGCCCTCAGTACAAGTATACCCTTCTCCCTACTTTTGCTTTAACGCTATTAACATGTTAGCTCAAAATACTAGACACTAACAAACAGTTATCTAACATGTATAGCAACTAACATGTCAGCGTTAGGGAGTACACTAGTGGCCTATTGTCAGCACAATGAAGTTCCGAAGGTACTATTCGCTGCTATCGCGTCCACACACCAAACGGAAAAACGTGGCGGGCTCCTATGTCACGCGGGGCCGCTTTCAGTTTGAGAAAACCTCATGCTATGATTTTCATATCTGCACTGCACACTTACTTGTGCTGGACTATCGTCGATGGCCAAATAGGGGTACCGTATAGTCTTAGTCCTTGGCGACGTTTAGTCGTTGGCGACAACTACATCTAGCCATTGCGATTGGTCAGTACTTTTCATATGGGATCGGTTATTTTTACGCGCCATTGGTTCTAAAAGAGCAGTATCGCATTAAGCTTCAGCGCGGGAAGGAAGCATGGGTCGACCGTGCATCACAGGCTCCAGTAAGCGCCGAAAGCAATACAAACGAGTTGCGTGGCCTACGGCGACAAGCGAGACGTCCTCAAGTTTCTCAACAAGGGCAACTCCATCAAGGCCACCATTCTGCACTTCTACGGGCAGCTCACACGAAAAGACCACAGAGTAAAAGAAAAGCAGATCAGCAAATGGAAAAAGGCCTCCGCTTCAATACAGTCAGCGTGTGCATCTGGCCGAGCACGCCATCTTAACTCTCGGAAGCTCGGAGACGGCACCGTCTTGAGCCTCGAGGCAGAAGAAGAGATCGTCCGGTGGATCAACACATTTAGGAAGGAAGGAATTCCTGTGTCCCGGTTCATGCTGAAAACAAAGGCAATGGAAGTGGCTAAGGAATCTGATATTGCTCCCGACAAGTTCTCCGCCTCCTCAACTTGGATGAAGCTGTTCATGAGGCGACACAGACTGTCGTTGCGCACAAGAACGCATCAAGGCCAAACCACTCCTCAAGACGCGGCTGAGGCTGCCCAAGCATTTCGCGCCTTGGTACTTCAAACTGCTGTCGAACAAAACGGCACCAAAATATTCAACGCAGACCAAACAGGTGCGAAAATGTTTTATTTCTTATTATGATTTAATGCTAGACGTCTAACATACTTTCTAGCTGTATTTTTTGAATACGTGCCGAAAAAACCATCTCAGCAAAGGGCACGAAGACGGTTTGGATCAAATGCGCTAATAAAGACAAACATCGTTGCAACTGTTATGCTTTTAGCAGATTCGGATGGTGTAAAGTGCGACCCATTCATTATATTCAAGACGTCAGACGCCAAGACGGAAGCAAGACGCGCTGAGAACGGTGAGATCAGAAATGGGTTCGGTACAACCATTTGGCGTGAAGTGAAAACCCTGCAGAAAACGTTTCCCTGTCGGATCTTTGGAAACAAAACTGCGTGGTGGAACGCGGATTTATCTCTAAAAATTTTGGAGTATCATTTTGCCAACCGTGAGAACCCGGACGACAAGCTCTTGCTGTTGTGGGACGATTTTAGCGCGCATTGGACGAAGAAGGTAAAAGATTATGCTGCCTCGCTCAACGTTGTCCTACTGAAGGTGCCGCCAAAGTATACATATGTCTGTCAACCGGCAGATATTTCGTGGAATAAACCTTTTAGAGGTTTACTACGATCGCTTTGGGTTGAAACACTGCGCGAACAACTTAGGAAGTACATCAGTGGAGAAAAGGCCCGACAACAAAAAAGGAGCAAGCTCGCTGCAGATATTCTAAGCACACGCAAGCAGTATGACCAGCAGGAAGCCGATCGCAGAGTCGCCATTCTCCGGGACGAATTTAAAGAGAAGCCTTTCGCTTTGGTCGGGCCGTCGCGGCGGGACATCACCAAATGGAACATGTCAAGTTGGGACGGGCTATCACGTGAAACAATCGTCAGCGGATTCTCACGCGCGGGGCTACTGATGGATACACGCCCACCGGCTATTGACGCTTGTGTTGAGGTTGATACAGACGCAGTTATTGCGTCACTGCAAATGCACAACTTAGCTGAAGGAGAAATGGACTCTGACGACGATATCGGTAGCGACAGTGGTGGCAGTGAGGGGGACGACAGCTCGGACGATGATACCGGTAGCGGCAGTCACAGTAGCGACAGCGATAATGTTGAGGATGAATAATAAAACGGCAGCTTCAATTCGATAATTAGTAGTTGTAATGACCAGACGGTGATAATCCATGTCCGGAGGTTGTCGCCTAGGACTACGATTATACGGTAAGCATCATGAGTTCATACCCAGGTTTTTGAAAGGGTTAGGAGCTAGATCGTTTTCAAACTGCCACTAGTCTGCCCAAACCAGCAAAACACGAAGCCCATCGCATCAAAACAGCCGAACCTTTGCTTGAGATTCCGCAGCAATCAGCTTTATAAGGTCGTGGTGCTTTCTGCAGAAAAAACCTACAAAACGCTTTGGTACGTAAGATTCACTGCAAGCAAATGATCTGGTACTTGGGTTTGAACTAAATGCCCGGATCTACTTCTACCATTATTTTTTCTAAACGAGGAATTAAAATTCCTCGCTTGCATTCCTTGGTTACTGTCCTTCCTCACTACGATAAACAACGGTAAAGGTAACGATGTAGCTGATTGCGCTCCGTCCTCTGGCCATTTCGAATACATGCACGTGCACCACGCACGTACAATACCAGTACGAGGAAGCGACAGCAGCTGCTGTAATCGCTGTTGTCGTTATGGGGCAAATTGAACGTCTGTCATAGCCAGAATGATAGAACTCCAATTTCCAATAGGGGGTAAATTTAGCGGCAAAAAAACTAGATCTCGTGAAGTACTAGTAAGGTTTGCCTGTCATAGCACTTGTACATTGCTTAGCTGTTGCGTTTATATATGCAGCGATATGCGTTCTCAGCAGTAAAACAAAGCGAGTTTTTCTTGGTGGCGCCAAAACATGACAAAATCGATGCCAATATGTACGTTAGTTATGGTCTGCTCAATCCGATAACGTGATCGACACGTGCAGTGTACTACAGTACTGTAGTGGTAGGTAGGTACTGAATTACTTCTGCGTAAGCTTTGCGTTACTTCGAAGTACATGTACACTGCTCTCTACACAGTCAACAGCAAGAGCGTTATGTTACGTTTCCAACCACACTACAGTAGTGGTTCTCACGGGGGAAGGTCCGCAGGTTTCATCAGCCAATAGGATTTACCTGCAAACCTGCAGTCAAACCTGCAGCAAGTCACAAAGTATGCTGGCTAACCTGCAATGCATTTTCTGAACACACCTGCAGGTTTACGCTGATGGGTTAGATTTACCTGCAACCTGCAAATCTACCAACCGTGAGAACCACTAGTATATCAACTACATACCGGTACATTACCGGCCATTTGCAACCCGGGTTGTATTTCTCGCGATCCGCAGCCTGTGATTGGCCAGATGCATGGTATCAGCAAGGATTTAGGCTGGTACTGCGACCAAACAGCTGGGTGTCGTTTGCAACTTTTGTAGCCCACCGAGTAGCAAATACTGTTCAGTTTTGCAACCATATCTCCTTACAAAAACCAAATCAGGGTTGCAAAACAGCTCAGTGCGTGAGTTGCAAAATAAAAGAGAGGTTGCAATGCGGTGCAGAGCGCTAAAAAGCTGCATCGTGAAGCGTGGAAGCATGACGGGTGACCGGATAAGTCCAACAAAAGGCCCCGGGGCGCTGTCCCCAGGGCTCGGCAGCGCGAGCCGCACGATCAGAGATGACTAAAGGTCTGAAGGTGGACACGGTGACCACAATATCGCGCGCCACGGGGCCCGTCGCCGACGCAATCGTCCACGCCAGAGTAGCAGCTATGACAGTACCAGAGGTAGCCAAGCTACCCGTTTGGAGCGGCTCGTCATTGGCGAGACACTATAGCAATCCGTAGGCTACGAGCTAATAACTAGTACTGGGCAGCGTGTAATTTGCGCTACTATAGCATCCAAGGCTCTCAACTGGTGCAGTAAAGCTTGTAATAGTGATCATAAGGGCAAGTGGGCTGCCGAGGTGATCGCTTTTACATCCCTATCGACCAATATGCAAGTGATGGCAGGCAAAAATATGGTAGGCTTTCGACAACTTTAAACCCACGTATCATATACTATAAACATAATGTGGATCATTACAGAGCAGTAATGCTACATACAGCTACGCTGTAGGCTCTTAATTAACCAACAAGCAACGTATTCAGGACTGCTGTGCATGTTGGCATCGCAATTGGCCGTCAAGTTGACCGGTACAATATTTAGCCAATCAGAGCCCGGTAGCAAACCAGGTTGCACAACTGGCTGGTATTTATACAGTAGTTCTAACGTTAGAATGAGCATGCTCCAAGATGGCGAAACGAGATAGACATTTTGATTCAACGCTGCATTATTCTCAAATTCGCCCGGACCAGCACAATCGCCCCCGAAAATCCTCCCATGCAGATTCCGACAGTCCTTTTCATCGCCGCAGCAGCGATCTTCCCTGCCAGCGCCGGGCAGTCTGTCCAATCTGCGCTAGTCTGATTCCTCGACAAGCGGGAGCAAAAGCTTCGACTTCTCCAAGGTGAACCAGGCCGAGCATACCGCGACATCACCTGGTAGCAGCAGCAGCAGTAGCTACGAGTGCCCCTAAGTGTGTCCTACGGATACAACCCCCGTGAAGGACGAAAATGGCGTGGAGTATATAAACAAATGCGTGCACCATCAGGTGGAAAAATATTAATATCTGTTGCTCAGGTACTGACTCACCTGTTGCCCCTTATTTTGTAGGAATATCTGTTGCCCAGGCTGAGCACTTGTTGCCGAGTCTGAATATCTGTTGCTGTTGAAACCAACAGAAAACTCAGTGCTGAATTGCTGTTGCAAAGTTTCAGTGCTGAAGTTCTGTTGTCTATTTTACAGCGGAAGAGCTGTTCCCGATTTTGGGTGCACACACGCCTTCTCGCTCTCGAGGTTTTGCAACCCCCCCCCCCCTCCTCCTCCTTCCTGCTCACTCTGCATTTAGAGCCCGGCCCACCACATCCCCAGCACCATGGAGACCATGGAGGCTCTCGCCTTGCCTGCGAGCGATGATAGCGACAGCACGGAGTTGTTAGAGTATGATAGCGACCTTGCAGACGAAGACATGCACAGTGCCACCGCCTCGGTTGAAGATATGGACCAAGACAACTATGAGGACGGCGAAGACGACGATGCGGGGGACGAAGGCGACGACGCTGAGGAGGAAGGTGAAGACGAGGACATGCTTGAAGAGAGCTCGCTGGTGGGGCAGGCTATCGATAGAGCTTCATTGGTTTTTGACGATGACCAGGACTCAGACTACGTCGGATCAGATTCGTCTTTGGAGTACGAAGATGGCGCCGAGGAAGCCAACCCCCTGGGCAACCAGCTTGACACTGCATTGTTGTCTCCGCCCACCGCCGCAGTGTACTAGAATGTAGACTTTTACGACACAAAAGAGGTAGCTGAGCAGGCCCTGCATCGATTGAATAATTTTGTCTACGAGGTACCTCTCCACATTTCGCGTCGGCAAGGAATACAATTGTCGCTCGCATAATGGCTGCTGTCACCGCATCAAATTGGTCTCACACAACGCTGGCAACTTGGGGAAAAATATCAAGTTTTGCAGAAAGGTGAGCACACCGGCAGCATTGTCAACCTCACACCAAAAGGGATATCGCCTGTTTTAAAGCCTGAAGTTGACGCTCTTCTCAAGCTCGGTATGGCGGAAGGTCGTGTTCGCAACATGCTTCTCTTCAAGTATTTACGCGACCCGGCAATGCTGGCCCTTATACCGGAGACGAAAAAACATGGACAACCGGAAGGCGTATTTGAAGCGGAAGGCCGGCGATGGATGGGAGATGACTAAGTTTACAACTCTCCAGAATTGGGCTGCAGGGCGGCTGTGCCAGAGTCGAGATGAGTTCATTGGTGTGGACGCAACTAACGCTGCAGCCATGAACGCCCTGATCGTACTCGACGAATTTGAACATTTAGTTACTGTTGCGGGCGAGACAGTGCCCTCCATGGGAATTATTGTCACTTCCCGAGCTGTCTTTTGTAATGTTGCCCACGCTGGTACTTTCAACGGATGGGACTTACCGAATTCATTTCGGTGGTTGGACACTGGTTGATTGTGGTGGTGTTTCTGTCGAGCGATCCGGCGCGGATTACGTGCAGCGCTTTCGTCCTTGGCTCTACATGTTCGTGAGGACAGAGAGTGCTTTTGCGTACGAGCGCATGTTTCGGGCGCTTGTACAATATGCTGAAGTCTTTTTGGACGTTCAAGTGCGAGTATGCAGGGCCAGTATGGATCATTCAGACGCCATTGCGTCTGCGGTGGAGGCGGTGTGGCCCCACGCAGTAATTCTTACTTGTTGGGAGCACCTGCTGCGTCAAGTGCGCAAGCAGACGAAGTTGGAGAAAACCAAGGGGTTTCTTAAGGACACTGGGGAGCTGCAGATTCGACAACTTCATCTAACACGGTCGTTGAAGCGGTTTAGAGCCCTGGCAAAGCGAGTCGTGAAGTCGAAGTCGTGGCGCGACGAAGGGGAAATCGAACTCGCTAACTGGCTTCAAAGCGTGTATTTGACTCCGCGATGGGAGCGCTGGAGTGTCAATAGCTCCCCTGTTCCTGGCTTCCTTCCAACCCAGCAGCCAATCGAAAGTCACCACCGCGTCATTAAAGTCATCGTCACGGACTACAAGCAGTCTTAAACTCCGTGCTCCCAAGAATCCTACTGTATGATGCTACTAACCTAGCGTCCGGTCCGCATCTCCATTACGCCGAAGGTGTGTCTAGCAATGTGGCTGCGCTGTTCACAACCTTACTTACTTCATGCGTTGTTGTGTTTCTTCTATCTAGGTCCCCTGCCTGTTAATGCGATTATGAAGGCGAAAGAACAGCTACTTCTGCCAAATAATCATTGCGTCGCAAGATCAGGAACCCGCGTCCGCATCTTCTTCAACAGCGATAAGACCATGGTGCTTCCGGTCGCTGAACAAACCTGGCCGCTGCCCCCGTGACTGAAGCGAGAAAACCGGTATGTGAGTTCCCAGCTTTTTTACGGTTAAGTTGAACTGACATATTATTTCATGTTTTATTTGTGTTGTCATAGACTTAAAATCTCTTTGCTGGGGAGACTTGGTGCTATGGAGCCTATCAAAGATGCAGAAGTCTCCTTTCTATCGCTGCATCAAGTGACAGCGGAACGGCGGGCGCTCGGACAGATGCAGCCATTGACTCCACGCGCAAAATGGAGCTTCGAAGAGGTAAGTTTGTTTCAACATCACCTAGTGCCCGCCAATTCTAACGTTTTCGTTCACATTTACAGATAAACTCGATTCGCAATGTTTTTCGGTGCACCTGCAAGGGCTTTATGCATACAGGGTGGTTTTGCTCTCACGTGATAGCTTCGCTTGACTTGTTGGACAAGCTCTAAGTTGGTCTAGCTATGCAAAAGATCCCAATGCGGGGGCTACCAGGACGACCGTGCGCTTCTAAAGGAGGTCTACAACGTGATCAAGATCCGTACGATGTAAATCGACTGATCCAGCTCTTTTCCAAACACCCGGGGAGACCGCTAAAGTGGCCAGTGGTGCAGGAGTTTGATGTGGAGGATGGCGACAAAACGTACAAGGAGCATCGAGTTGGCCAAGTGGCAGGGTGTCGACTGTCAGAGACAGAAGGTGTGTACGTGTGGAGCGTCACCTTTATCCACGGCGACTCGCTCGAATATCAGGTTGAGGAGCTTGTCCACGCGGTGCGGCGGGCACATGCATTTGGCACTCAGTGAGCTCTAGCACAGATCATTATGCATTACATTCCTCCCCTTGATTTCTTAGCAACAGCTATTCATACAACACACACTGACTCGCTGTTGCCTCTATTCAGCACTAACTTTCTGTTGGAACCGAGAGCAACAGCTTTTACCAGTCCCTAGCCCTCGCAACAGGTATTCCTACAAAAAAGGTCGGCAACAGGTGAGTCAGTGTTTGAGCAACAGATATTAATTAGCACCCCCGTCAGGTGGACTGCACGTACAAAGCCATTCTCGCCGCATCTGACATGGCCGACGTACGCGCACTGTTTGGCAGTCTCGAGAGCGCTGTCCGGTTGGAGGGCAGCGGGAGCCTCGAGCATTCTGTGGTTGACATCGGGATCTTCGAGTGGTTCGGAGTGAACTCGCGCGACAGCGGCAACTCGGCTGCATCGAGAAGTGAAGGCACCACGGCCACACAACAGGAGCCCTCAACCCGCATTAAGAGCAAACCAGGACCAGTGTTGTACGAGCCCGGCACCTTCAGCAGCGGTGCCGATTCACACCAGCTAGACGAGGATGCAAGCTAAGGCTCAGAAAAAAACTACTTTGTGTGGAGCGAGCGAAGTTGGTCAGTAACACTGAAGAAGCAAGAGAAAGAAACACGACACGTCTTATCTTGATGAAGCTGTCTGAAGAAGCTTTCAGCAGGTACATGTATTAACCCTTATATACATGTACTCAAAACATGGAAGTAGCTTTGGATGAGGCGACGCGGGCATACAAGTAGCCTGCCCCGGAGAAGCTGGGCACAACAACCGGCCGAAAGCAGGAGGAGACGGTTGGTAGCCAAAGATAACAGACATCGTCAATCCCCGTGCGCGAATCCAGTAAGCTCGCGCTGAGGAGACCGGTCGCTTGCTGCACGACGCGCTGTACATAATACTTACCGGTTACAAAACACTTCCCTAAGCGTGTTTACAAGATAGATACTGTATTCCTATGGCAGCATCAATCCTGGTACGGGTTGGGGTGACGCCCTCCCGGGGAGCGGCGCCGCGGCGTCGTTCTCGAGGGCGCTAATGCGGCTCTGCCGCGGGCGCCCTCAGTTCTTAGACGGACAAGGATGTGAGGCTAGTGCCTCTGGGCTGAGTACTCGACGCGGGTAATACTGATCGTGCCGGAGAAGACAGTAGGAGCTCGATTAGTGGCCGCCCACTATTGGAGTTAGTGGTGTGGACCACGCTTGGAGAGTGCAGATCACTTTTTCCCTAGGCGCACTAACGTTTACAAGTACAACAAGTACAAGTATGGCAGCATCAATTGCTCAACCATACACTTTGGAGCTCAATATTTGGTTAATTAAGCAATTGATGCTGCCACAGGAATGCAGTATCTATTCTGTAAACACGCTTAGGGGGGTGCTTCGTGACTGTTACTTCCTTGTACGGCCTGCGACTGCGTTTGGTTCATTATCGATCGATGTGCTATTGCAGCTGCGGACAGAAGACCGAGTTTTTGGTGTATATTTTCACGCGCGGCTTCCGACAACCGAACCATTTTGCCGCCCAAAACATATGCGTAACAACAGTGTTTCGCCTTACATTGCTTGGAACTCACCCAAGCTAATCTGGGTGAACCGAAGTTAACACCGTCGCAGCAAGTTCACGCAGTTGATGTCTGTCAACACGTTCACGAGCCTGACGTTGCTGGACGATACGAAAATGGCGCCGATGTATTCGCGTCAGCTCTGTTAGATGTACTTATCGGCCAGCAAACTATATCGAGCGGCAACAGAGTCCAACTCCACAAATGATTCTGTCGCGGACGCAAAATGGCATCTTCTGCTCGTGTTGTTTGCGGGATACTAGCCTTGCTCTTTATCACAGCGTCCTCGCTTGGTCACTCACAACAATGACGGGGAATTTAGGAATCCAATCTCATTCTCGTCCGCTCGTAGGAGATGCAGCAGTCTCAATACATGGGGTCATCTAGCGTCGTTGCCCATGTAAACCCCGTGATAACAAACACCAAGTGATTCGTTAACGACATTATCGAGCGCGACATCAGTACAAAAACGTACAGCGGGGATATCTCACTTCTTGTATGACCGTGGTTCTGTGGCTGCTGAGGCCCAGTCTCATCAAACTACTGCACATGTACTCGGGCCGACTACCAGGCTAAGCTGGTATAATACATGTAACACGGAGGAGAAGGTGCAACATTGGCGCCAGGCAGCCATGTATTCTTCGTACGCTGTACACTGTACAAAGTTTGATCATGTGATGCACTTTTAATTTACGGGAACATATCGGAAATTACCGAATAATACCCCGGGCACCCTCGCGTTTTCAAACAAAATCTGATAAATTACGTATATTATATGCATAAATATGCTTTCGACAATAAGCCCACAAAATTATACTTGATATTTGAATTGAAGTAACCATGTAACCCTGGGCTACGCAGTGGGTTACGTTTTAGAGGGTACTATACGGGTACGGGGTATTATTTGGGAATTTACGTTAATTACTGGTTTCCCAACCAATCTGGCATTACTCTGGGCTGGTTCTCCAATCTGGTCCCGACCGGAGATCCAGCCCGAGGGAGGACCTCGGCCGTGAGCCTTGAGCCCCATTGAGTTAGTGACTGACGGAGGCTCACTTACTGTACTGAGTCGCAGGAGTCCTGTCAGGACCAGATTGGAGAGCCAGTCCGGTGACTCCTCTCTTGATGTGTACGGACTCCGTGCTACATGTACGGAGGCGACTAGCCGAGCGCCGCCGCTACGCGGCGGATAGAATTTATATTGTAGTTAGTTGTTATGCACCCGTTCCGCTCGCCTCGTCGGCTCGCTGCACTACTCGCACGGTTACGTTAATTAATAAATACAGAGGCCGGGGCGGGTCCTGCGGCCACGCAATATCGTATGGGGGGGGGGTCGCCTTCGGCGACGGGGCCGCCGTCGCTTCGCTCGGCAGCCTAAGTACGATTATGTGGACCACCTTTAAAGTGGACAGGGTGTGACGCAGACGGACAGATCTCTCCACAGAGCCGGGCTCCTGGGCTCTTGGGTGAACCCAAAAAGTCGCGAGCTCGGGCTCCTGGGCTCTTGAGTTCAATAGGTTAAGTGAAAGGAGCCCTCCAGAACTGTGAGCCCTCGTTAAGGGCTCCCCTCACCTGTGTTAAATATCTCGCTGATGATTGGCCGTCATTGAAGTATCTCCAGGTTCTAACCTGAAAAGGCATAGGAAAGAGGGCTTCTCCTTGAGGGGAAGGAAGGACTATCGGCGACGCTGGGGTGGCCTCGGAGCGGCTGTACACATATGAGCGGCGCGAGATCTTCTAGTGTGGCGATCTTTGAGCTCGATCTTCTAGCGTGGCGCATCGATCACGCGAAGTTGCTCGCCTTGAGTCTAGGTAAAATTGGCCAATCAGATATTACTATGAAGAGCCCGTCATAGATTTGAAGCTAAATTTGGGGAGCCCTGGAGGGGAGCCAATGGGGAGCCCGAACCAGGGCTCCTTGATCTCGTACTTACCATGAGGGAGTCCATTTTGTGCGACTTTTGGCTCTCGTTTTAGGGGGAGCCCACTTTTGAAGTAGACGGGCTCGGGCTCGTAGAAGGTGTGGATCTCTCTATTCGCCGAGTTGCCTGCGGTGCAGGGCCTGCACTGCATCGAGATTACGATCCAACAGTATGTGTGCTAACCTCATACATGGTAATACATGTGTACGGGTGCTTGCAAGGTGGCTGCTTCCCACCTCGAAGCTTAAGATTTGCGGACCAGAACATGTAAGCTGCATCTTGGAAGACCCGACGGGTGGCTATGATACTGTAGCGGACGACGTTGGCGACCCTGGTGACAAGGTTCCTCACTTTCCAAATCGCGTCGAACAAGACAACCACTCCTCTTCCTCCTACCTCGACACCATGACCAAGTTCTTGCTCCTTTGTTTGGTCGCGATCACTCTCCTCGTAAGCGGTGACGCAATCTCGGCGCCTGCCCAGAACAAGCTGGGCCAAGTGGCTCCCGCGGGGGTGAACGACGCTGTCCACGCCGACATCACCACCAAGCGGTCACTACGTGGCCTCGAGGAGACGCTCGACGCTGCCGACGAAGAGAGGGGCCTGCCGGAGCTGGCCACGAAGCTCAGGACGTGGGTCTCCAACTCGAAGCTGGTGCAGGCGGCGGCGAAGCAGGGGCAGACGCTGGACCAGAAGCTCCGCGTCGCCAAGGCCTCCATGCTCATCAAGCTCAAGGTGTCGGACGAGGTGCTGTACAAGTTCAAGGTCCTTCCCGACGAGTACTTCCTGGCCAAGGGCCTGGACCCCAAAATCAAATTCAACTCCAACTCGGCCTCGGCGGTGGAGAGCAACCCCGGCTTGGCGCAGTGGTTCGCGTACACGAAGTCCTGGAACGACCTGGAGGCGAAGGCCAAGTTCAAGATTGTACCTGTAGCATAAGCGCAGCGGCCAATACTGTAGCAGCATTAAGTAGATTGGAGCTCTTCAAAAGCTGGAAGTACACACCACTGTAGCCGTGGTACTGGAATGCACGCTGAAAACAACATAAAATGCAGCTTTCGACCTCAAAAACTCGATTTTCATCCGGTCTCGACAGTCGACTTCATTGTGCTGTCGACCAAGGCGAACGCCGATTGGTTGATATATATTATGTTGCTCGAATGTTGCGCTAACACGGCTTTTGGTGACTTTACGACGCCACACGCCGCATAACGCCACCTTTCCTGGCGCATCACTTTTACTGCGGCAGTGCTGGAGCATGGCGGACGCGGCTCCCCCGCGCCTCCGCGGCACCATCTGGAAGCGCAACGCTGGCATCCTGCGCGCCTGGCACAGTCGGTGTGTGAGCCTCGGGCGCTGCCGGCCGCGGCAGAACCTGGTAATTCTAATACACTTTCTTTTCTTTTATGCGTTTTCGTGGTGCAGAGCGGCGGTGGTGACGGCCGAGGGCTTTTTACTCTACAAGAAAAAATCGGATGGGTACAGTAATTCAAAACATTTTACTTTACTTTATGCACCTGCTTGCAGTATTTTGATTTTTTTTATTGTTTACTTACCAACTGGTGACAGGGGCAAGACCAAGGAGATCGACCTGGTCAAGGTGAGACCTGGTCTCGTGTGTGCCTGGAGATTTTATGCTAACATTTTTATATCTTTTTATTGTTTTCAGGCGACATTTGCTGCCTCGATCGCGCAGACCAACGGGTACTACTACTTCGAGCTGCAGTATGGGCCCACGCAGGTCGCGATTGGGTTTCCGGCGCTGGAGGAGGCGCGACTGTGGCTGAGTGGCATGATGGAGGCGGCTGGTACTTTACGTCTGAATTAAAAAATATTTTTGCGTAGAGTTGGGGGACTGACGAGATGATGCAGACGAAAACAGTGCGGGGCGACGCGCGTGGATGGCGAATCTGCGTCGGATGTTGACACTCAAGCTGCGTGACCGACGAGAGCTGGTGCCGGCGATGGCGGACCGCGACTGGTTCAGTGAATGGAACTTCTGTCTGAGGTGAGGATTTAGATACAAATTCCGTGGGTCGCTGTTGTTTCGTCGGGAAAAGTGTGTGCTGATCCGGTTGCGGTTGGTTGCCACTGGTAGATCACTGAAGAATGATAGAGAGCCGATCGCTGCTCGACAGAGACGACTGAAGCGGCTGCATACGGTGCGGTAGGATCGATCGATCTTGTTGTTGGGGGTCAATTGTGTCTAAACATTGTTTCCTTCGAACAAAAAAAATTAGATCTGGATGCAGTTCGAGCTGTTTACGGAAATTCTGGCGGAGATTTTCTTCTCGTCGGTGCAGCAGCGAGATTCTCGAGGAATCGCTCGCATCGAATTGTTCGAACGGGCAGCAAGTGACTTCGCCCTGAACGGCGGGATCGACCAACGGGCAGCAGAGTTTTCTCAGAGTGCAGGAGCGCCACACCCCAGCTTGGTGTCGTCGATGTCCACTTCGTCTCTTACGTCCACGACATCAAATTTGGGCATTGACAACGACCAAAGTGCGGGAAGCGCTTATACGAAGCGTGACGACGTGGATGAGATGAAACTCGCTGGAATCCGATTGGAGTTTGCGTCCAAAAGTTGGCAGGGACACAAGCGTCTAGCGAAAGAAACCGCACTATTCGCCAGGTTCCGCTCGCTGATTGAGCTCTTCCTCTCGGAAAGTGCGACCGAAGATGGGAAGCTGCCTGGGGCTCTGCGTGCAGTATTGACAAAGCTTCCGTCCTTCCCGCTCGTCTCGGCGTTTTCGATTCGTGGAGTGAGCGTCGTCGCTATTGCTGAGCCCCTCAGGAGCGAACGCTCGACGATCGCGACAATTGACAACCGCGACCTTGCCGGGTTGAGCATGGCGCTCCGTGACGCCAAGATGTTGCGGTACTTCCCATACGAAGAACTGCCTGAGCTGGTAGTACGGAAATTCCCTGGTAATGTGGCGCCAACTCTGGTGAGGGTACACCCGCGTTACGACAATGTACTTGTGAACTCGCTACGATCGCCAATGGTGCACGGCGTTTTGATCCGAGCGGTGCATGGGGTGAGTGACGATAACAAACGGGTTGAACTGCTCTCTGCTCTTGACGTGAAGGAATTGGTGCGGACGAAGGAGCCTCACTGGATCCCGTATCTGGATCTAGTATACTACCAGCTGGGCAACGGAGCCTCTCCTGTCGAGAACCTGGCTGCCAAGGAATTTCTGCTTAAGACCAGCAGGTACTCAACAAGCCAGCCGCTGACTGGTGACATTGTCATCACAGTCGATGCAGAGAAGAGCAAGTTGCTGTTGGATCTGCCTGAGGCGTTTGTGAAGAAGCACGACGTGGACATCCACCCCCTTGTTCGGAAGCTCCAGGGCGTCAAGAAGAACAGCGCCATCTTCGCGCTGGCTGCTTCAAGCCCGACATTTGCCAGGAGCCAAAATGGACGATCCCGTCCAGTTGATACAGGTGTGCACGTTGCCCACGAGTATGAAGACGGAGTGAAGAAGCTGTTTGTGCAACACATCAAGGAGTTCGCAGCGCAGCTCGTCACGCTTGGAGACACACCCGAGGCTAGAACAGCCGGGTTTGGAGCAACTGGAAGACCGAGAGCGCCTACTTGGAATCAGTCTCAGGGAGGAGCACCATCTCGCGGTCGCTTGACCCGGTCCAACACGCTGTCGTCTATGCCTCGACCTGAAGATATCTTCTCGTCATCAACAACTTCTGCTACTCAACACACTGAGTTTGAACCGATTACTCAGCCGCCTCTGCGTCGACGAATGTCGTCACTGAGCTCCATGGCTCAAACGCTAGGAGCAAGTGGATTACCGGACAGCAATTCCGGCACGTACGTTATTGACACGCTGCATCTCCGCCAGACGATGCGAGAGGGCGGCGTCAACATGCGCTTCTTGCCACTGGTATTCCAGTATCTAAGCCGCCGTGACCAACTGGGCGTTCAAGTTCTCGTTGCTAGCGAAATTGTGGCTCGACTGGCGAAGAATTTGTTCCGGTACCGCATGCTCAACGAGGATACAGGGAAGACAAGCCGCTGGAAGTCGAGGAAATCACGACTGATCAAGTTCATTGACTCCATCATGCACGGTCTTTTCCACAAGAACCTCCCTGATGGGCGATGCGCGATAGTGGAGTGCTTCGGGGACCAGTTCTGGGACATCGACGGCCCCATCATGTACTCGCTAGGAGCCTTTTCATCCAGTTTCGCGATGGATACGAAGACTCAGAACCAAGTGGTGAACTCGTCCAGCTCCTGCCTGGACAAGTACCGCGACCTGTTGAAGGTGAACCCTGCCATGTTATTCAACAGTTTACTACACGTCTTCCAGGCGCGGCTGACCAAGTCGATTCTGCCCGAGTTGCACGAGAACCGCTTCGTGTCTGTCCCCTTCCTGCGTACCGAGGACGACCTGACGTTTAACTACGAAGAAGACGACCCGAAGCTCGCCATGAAGATCCACCAAGGTCTGCTATGGAGTAACCTGCAGTTCTTCCGCGTACAGTTCGAAGCCTTGAAGCCCGAATTACCCGTCTTAAACGACGGAGAGCAAACCAACACCAACAGCAAGGGTAAGCTGGGCGTGTGGACGGAATTGACGACGTGGACTCAGTACTACCGGATGCTGTCGCAGATCTTCCGACAGAGTTTGAGCCGTCCTCACCTCACACGGCTGGAGAAGGCGATTCAGTCCTGGCAAGACTTGACCGCGGTTCGAGCGCATCTGAGCTTGGCGCTTCGTGCTGCAGCCGCTCCTTCGTATCACCCGTCAGGGAACAGCAAGGTATCGGCTGTCATTCGAGAGCACTGCAGCTTCGCGTACCTGCGCATGGCCTCCAGTAAAGCGCTGTTTCCTATCGAGTACAAGCTGGCATTGCGCTGTCTGGAGCTCGTGAGCTCCGGCGAAGAACTGGCCAAGGCCATGGAGGAGTGCGACGAGCTGCTGGAGTGGCTGAGGTTCTTCTACCGACCAGCGAACCCGTCGCAGTTTGCCAAGGGCTCGTCGTCTCACCCCGTGTATTCCATTCAGTTCTCAACGGAGCAGAGGGAGCTGGAAGATCCGACACAGGAGAACGCGTTGCTATTCTCTTTGAGAGAGCGATTCAGGCGTCAGCAGTCTCGCCAGTCGTGGATGTCGGTCATGTTGAGTGTCGACGCGTACTGTCGCCGAATAGAGGCCATGAGGCGGGATCCAGTGGCTGACGCGGCCACGAGAGCTGTGTTGTGTGAGATGGGGTTCGCCTCGCGTATGCCGTCTGCCCCTCTAAGTCCAACAAGCACCTGGGAGAACGGGTCTGTAATGGACTTGACAGCGTCTGGGACTGAAAAGTACCAAGCGTCTTTCAGCTTCAACCCCGAAGACTCCTCAATGCTGCCATCCATGTATTCGTCACGAGGAGATGCGCTGTGGTTCATCGAGTGCTTCTTCCTCCCCCCGCTGGCGAATAACTCGCTGCTCGTCGCAGGAGACGCACTGGTGAACAACGAAGAGATCTCCAGTCGAATGACGAGCGTCCGTGCTGGCGCCGCGGACGAAGGACCCGTTCCTGGTCTCGCCTTGGTCTGGGGCAAGCCACTCGGCTTATCACTGGACGAAGAGGCCCACATCAGCCAAGGGGGCCGCTCTGCGACGCTATGCCTGCGCCCAACAGCCGAGAACGCGTCTCCAATCCGCATGGCCTCGTTTCCTCGTCCTTTGCGTCGAGTGGTTCAAATCGCCTGTGGATATCGCCACACCGCCCTCATCACTGACGACCGACACTTGTACACGTTCGGCCACGGCGAGTGCGGTCGACTGGGCCATGGTAACCAGGAAGACTGCACGGAGCCGGTATCTGTGGGATATTTTACCAGTCTCATTGAAGCTGAGGGCGTCGACGTTGGTGGAGTTGTCGAGGTCTCGTGCGGCCGCGAACACACCATGGCGGTGACTGCGAGTGGAGATCTGTTCGGCTTCGGTTGGGGCGAAGCGGGTCGCCTTGGAACTGGTGAGACCGGCAGCAGTTTGTACCCGACGCGCGTGACGGATCTACAGAACATCGCTGCGGTAGCGTGCGGACGGGAGCACACGCTGGCGCTGACGAGGAAAGGCCGAGTGTTTGCGTTTGGCGCGGGCTTCGGTGGGCGTCTGGGCAATGGCAGCGAGACGGACGAGGAGCTGCCGTTCGCAGTGCAAGGGCTGGAAGACTACCGGATCGCGGCCATCGATGCTGGAGAGTGCCATTCGTGTGCTCTGAGCACTGAAGGAGACGTGTTGACGTGGGGGTTCGGCAGCTCTGGAGCGCTGGGTCACGGCGACCGCGACAACTGTTTAGAACCGAGGCGTATCGAAGGACCGTGGACTGGGAATGCTATCGATGGAGAGGAGAACCAAGCGAGCGAGACGTCGGTGGTCTCTGCGATTGCGTGTGGGAGTTATCACACGCTAGCGGCTACGAGTGACGGAGCTCTCTATGGCTGGGGCGACGCTGCTGCCGGACAGCTGAGCGTTGAATACATCACGGCACCGGAGATGGTCGTGCTTACGCCGCAGAGAATCCGCGTGCCGACCAATTCGGGCATCCGAAGCGTTGCGTGCGGTACCTTCACGTCGGCCGTGTGCACGAACCAGGGCCACCTCTTCCTATGGGGGTCGCCGGCTGCAGGGAACGGAGCCCCCTTAGAAGTTGACGATGCGCGGGTCAAGAGGATCGGCGTTCTGGGGGAGTTCGAGTTCTCACAAGTCGCATGTGGTACGGTTGTGTATGTTTTTTTGTTCGTTCGCTGTCTGGTTGAAGCTAACTGTGAATTTTTGATATGAAACAGGAGCGTATCACGCTGTAGCTATCACCCGAAAGCTCGAGTACTGCTAGGTGGCCACCCCCTCAATGTGGTCGCCACCTCTCCATCCATGTAGGATTGTTTGTTATTCATGCAATTCTTGCGAGTTGACGTGCGTTGTCCGCTTCCATTCTCGAAAATAGCTTACGTGTGACTTACAGCGGAGCAGTCCAGTCGAAGCAGCCAGCGAAACTGCCCACTTGAGTTACTAAGCGCGCATTGCATTGCAGCTTGAAGGCCATATCGAATATGACCGCGCCAGCGTCAAGTGACAGCGCAGCAGGAAGCACGGGGCGCGTGCTGCCCCAGCTTCGGTTAAAGCGACCAAGTCCAGCCCGAAGCGTCCTCACTCCGCCGCGCGGGACACAACCCCCGCTTCAAGTGTCCCGACTGACGAGGCTGAGCGATGCCGCCGCGGGGTTCCCGTGCGCGCGCCTGGTCGAGTCGTTCCTGTACTTCTGGACTGTAGTGGCGAGCATGCTCGGCATCGTCCTGGCCTGCCTCGTGCTCTACCTCATGTACTTCAAGGACGGCGGGAACCTGGCGCCGGTGCTGCCGTTCTGCTTGGCTGCGTATGGGGCTCTAGCCATCACCGTTGCGTCGGCCTGCGGGCTCTACGGTCTGCTCCACCACCGGAGAATCGTCACGGAAGGCGGACGCAACTACTCGCTCGGAATCGTACGTGCTCCTTCCTATCAGTTGGTTACCTGGTAGTACGACCTCTAACCATCGGCTACTGTCTGTCTGTAGTTTGTGTTCCTAGGGATCGCAGGGGCCATCGTCGTCGTGGTCGCTGGAGCCATGGCGCTGTCGCTCGCCCACGTCGTCGAGTTGGCTCAAGACGAAGACTTTTCAAGCGACCGAGTGGCAGTTCTAGAGACCAAGCTCATCTCCAAGCTGCACGACCAGGTGGCCAAGAGCAGCTCCGCGTGGCGAGAGGTGCAGAACGAGCTCAAGTGCTGCGGATACGACCAAGCCAGCACCATCCAGACGTACCTGAGCGCGACTTCCTCGTGGAACTCCAGTGCACAGTCGGAGCTCGAGGGCGTGAACGCAGTGGGAGGCAGATACTGCTCCACTCGAACTGCCGAGTGTCTGAGGACGACGTCTGAGGCGCATTGTCCCGTGTCGGGGCGCGGCTGGTGTCGCCTCGAGCTGCTGCAAGTGGCGCACGACAACTACTCGCTGCTCAGCACGTGCGCGATCACGTTTGGAGCCTTCCAGCTGCTCTTCAGCCTGCTCGGTGTGTTCACGCTGCTCTGCGACGTGCGAAGGATAAGCGGGTCGTCTCCGATCTACGAGATCCAGCACCGGATGCTGTCCCCAATCCAACCAAGCGCCCCAAATGCCGAGGACTAGAGGAGGTGTAGGAGTATTTCTCGCTAAGGACATTGAAATGGAGGATGGATGGATGGAAGACTTTGAACTCGTTTGGTGGCGACTCTCTACAGTGAAAGGTCGGCCGGCGACGAGTCCAGCGTAGCGATGCCTCGCGCTGCGGTCAAAGCTTCATCTCCGACTGCTAGGCACAAGCCTCCGTCTGCAGCTTCAGAAGCGTCGAAGACTCAAGAGACTTCACGTGTTGTTAGTCCTGTCGTGGTACCGCCAGTTCATTCGGAGCCGCATCCAGCGACGCCAGTGACCCGAACGAGGAAGCGAGTGGTGCGACGACCCAAGTATCATGAGACGACCAAGTTCCTCGAGCGAGAGTCGTTCAAGGGGCTGGCACCGACGGATTCGGGTCCGAATAGTGCGTGGTTTCCGGGTTCGACGCTCGGAGAAGCGTACCGTGTTGCCAGTACCTTGTTTCGAGCAGCACAGCGAGCGTCACTGGAGACGCGACCTGTTTCGTGGGGGTATGGCTACACGGATGGGGCTCTGGGGCACCACAACACTCGACGCGTGGTGGAGATGAAGCGACTGGCGATTTTCCGCCGTGCCATCGTCCGAGCGGTCTCGGCTGGAAATCGACTGAGCCTCTTCCTCACTGGTAAGGAAAGTGATTGAAACCTGAGAGGTTACTAGTTGTCATCGCCTCATTGTTTTTGTATTGGTGTGGCTTGTTAGCGCAGATGACAACCGAGTTTTCCAGTGCGGGCGCTTGTTCATGAAGCAGGACGGCTGCAAGATGTGGAAGCCCGTCGAGGTGACTATGGCGAGTGTCGATGCCATTTCTACTGGAGTGACTATCGTGGCTGTGGAGTCTGGACACCTCGCAGCGTATGCACTCGATGGTGAGTTATGGTGTTGTAAGGGGCTTAAGGCTGAAGGGTTTTGTGCTCACTCAGGCTCTTCACTACAGATCAAGGTCGTGTGTACTCGTGGGGGACGCAGATTTTCGGTCAACTAGGGCACGGCGAGGAATTGGAGCTAGCATCCGCATTGAACGCTGCTATTGGCGAGAGCGATGCAATCGTTGAAGGTGAAGATCCTCCTGGGAAGCAAAGTGAGGAAAATTCTGCCAGTGAAGCGGAGGAAGATGAAGAAGAGGGAGAACCAGTGCCCAAGGTTGTCATCGTGGAGAAAACCCCTCGACTGGTGGAGAGTTTGGCTGACAATCGCATCATCAAGATCTCCGCTGGGAACCACTTCGTAGTCGCGGTCTCTGCAACTGGAGCCGTCTTCTCCTGGGGAAGAGGGTGCTTCGGTCAGCTTGCCAACGGGGGCGTGGTCGATGTAAGTACTCCAGCAAGAATTGAATCTCTGAAAGACTACGTTACGGTTGATATCGCCGCTGGATCGAGTCACGTACTGGGCGTGTTTCTGCCACGAGACGAGCGTCCTCCCTCAAATCAACACGAGCCCTCATCTCCAGCGCAAACCAGCGAGTCTGCAGCAACAGAGCGATCGGTTGTGATGGCGTGGGGGCGAGGGAAGCACGGATGTCTGGGCTTGGGAGGGTCCAACAATGAGTTGCTACCAAGTGAGAACGCATTCTTCCGAGGCTTGGGGGCGACCAAAGTTGCTGCTGGAGCGGATCACTCGCTGGTTCTGTGCTGCGTCGGCGCTCACACGTTCCTGTACGCTTTCGGAGGCAACGAGCTCGGCCAGTTGGGCGTCGCATCGAGTGCCGACCACGTCGACATGCCGTCGTTTCTGGATGAATTCGTCAATGTTCACGTTGCAGACATCGGGGCGGGGGCACAGTACTCTGCAGCTCTCACGGGAGATGGCGAAGTGTTCACTTGGGGCGACGCTCGCTACGGGAAGACTTGCCGAGCTGACGGACGGACGACGTTTGTGCCCTGGCAAGTTGATCTACCGAGAGCGATCCCCAGCAGCAGCTTCGTCACCCAAATATCGATTGGAACACACCACTCGTTGGCTCAACTCCGCCTCAGTACGTCGATTGAACTTGCTGTGGATAAAATACGCAGAGTATTTACAATGAGACTGTGCTTTGCTATGCTACTGTGCAGGCGGTGAAATCGATAGGTGGAGGAAGTTCCCGTTAGACGGCGTTGACTCTGCTGTACGCCACGAGGAGCAGGGAAGCAAAGGTCGGTCGGTGGATTGGGTGCTGCTGATGCGTCCATGAACTGGAACTAACCTACTCAACTGCTGTCCGTAGTCTCCTTGTGTTATTGCAAGAGTTCCCAGACCACGACGCGGAGTGTGCTCGGCATCTTCGTGCAATGTGAGACGTGTCGAGTATCGCCGCTATGTCGGGTGTGCTGCCGACGGTGTCACGCTGGGCATGTACTTAAGCCTGCTGCGGTTGGGCGAAGTGTGCAACACGCTTGTGTCTGCTCCGAAGAAGGAGCAAAACTTGGAGCTTCCTGTTTATTCGCTACGCGACTCCCATTTGCCATCCCAGAAGAAAGTGAGGGGACAGCGTCAGTAAGGCGGACCAGGCAGTAGATAGCTGCAGCTTAGAGGCCAAAAGCCACGATCACGTCGCTAGAATATTGAAATCGACACCTGGAGATGACAGGCAGCGCAACTGTTAGGCCGATACTTGACCACATTATTTCCCATCACAAATTGCGTACCGTAGTGCTTGAGCGTTAGATGCAAGATCGTGATGGTCCACACGAAGAGATAGCCTTGCAATGCGGGAGCGTGCGCCTCGAGTACAAACGCGAGTTGATACAGCGGTGAAAAGCCGAACTTGCGTCTCAAGAGCACGAGGAGCGCGCCGAACGAGGCGAACTCAATCACGCCGTAAATCATGATGTTCATCACTGTCGTCTTCAACTTCTGCTCAGTGATTGACGCTGTGTGCGGGTAGTAGGCTGCCACTGGTAGGTGGAACAACACGACAAGGTACAGCAAGTACAGCATCGGAACTATAAACTCGATGTACTCAGCCAAGAGAATGTACTCGGAGTGGAAAAGCGTCTGGAGCGCGTCAACTGCGACTTCTTCGTCATTACTCGAATCTCCGCCGGTCTTACCAAATTCTAGCGCTGATTCAATCGCAGGGCTTGTCTGGAGCTGTTTGAAAGAGGTTATAGTCGGCACTGGTGAGTTGAATACTCGATTAGGCGCCCCTGAGTTGCGTTTGGCAGCGGCTTTGGACGAGCATCGACGGTTTGTAAGTTTATCGCTCGCGAATCTTCCCGACTTGGACAGATCGTCCATAAACCCTGAGCTGTCCTTTGAAAGCGGGAGTGGAACCGGAGCAAACAAACGAATCCGTCGATAATGTTGAGTAGATGACGCCTCTCCGTTACACCATTTTCGCAACAGTGCAGGTACATCCTGGAGATAATGACCCATGGATGACTCATGGCATGGTCGGACACTTCCTTTGTGGTGGAAAATCGCACGAAGAGAGAGCAGCACGTGGAAACTATCCGTCGCCATGATGATCAAAGTCGTGACGACCGACTTGGACGCTTGCATGCAGATAGCGACGTAGTAGACGTTGAACAGGTCCACGGAAAACACCACGACCGGTCCGACGTATTCGTGGTAGCCCTTGGCAGCATTGGCGATATTCTGTTTAGTACAAAACTTGAGCAGCGGCATCACAAAGATGAAAATCGTCTGCTGAATCCCCGAGAGCTGATTGAATATCGCGCTGAAAATCGGGTAGCATACGGCCACAACTCCCTGGCTGGCGATGATGACGAGCTGATCCTTGAACTGCCTGCAGAGCGTCGGTGACTGAGTCAACTTTCGTGGTCCCACGACCAAAACCGTGAATAGTGAGAAGAAAATCACGAAAGGGCCCACCACCAGCACATAACCGAAAGGAGTGGGGAACGTCCACACGGCGGCAAGCATAATGGCCATTAAAACACTGCAAGTTGCTGTACCCACTGCAATTTTAACGGCTCCAATGATGGAGATGGTTCCCGTACTTGAAAACCCACCCCAATCCCCTCGGTGGTCATTGCGAGTAGCATTCGGATCCAAACCGCGTAATTTGCCTGCCATCCTTCTGAAGGGGGTTCCAGTGGGATGTAGTCGATCGCTAGCGCTGAGAGCAACGCTGGGAGTGGAGCGAAGAAGCAAACGGCGAGAACGCGAGCGAGTGAAGTGCGCTCGTAGTAGTCGCGGAAAGACAGCAAGCGCTCGACGGAGTATTGGCTGCGATGCCCGATCTGACTTCGGTGCCATAACGCAGAGATCTGGTGCTTCAGTCGTTGCAGCCGAGAGGTTTGGTCACATTCCGAGGGTGTCTCGGGACCGACTCGGCTCGCCATAGTGGAGCGTCTGTCAGGCAGAGCCTGGAATCGATGAAGACGTTCTGCTTTTATTTTTGCACGCGAATAGCCTTGGACGTTGGTTGCGGGTGGTCCTTCGACGAGCGCTCGGAAGCTGGGTGGTTTAAATTACCTACTCAAGATTGGAAACTGTTCAGGCACAATTCACTGAAGCAGAAGTGTCACGCTTCCTATTGCTGCCCCGCATGACTCATTGTGGAGTTCTCTACGACGGCGCGAAAGCACCAATCCTTTCCACAGCAGCACTGCACGGTACAATGCGTACGTATAGAGTCTACTGTAGCATGTAGGAAATGGTATAGCTCCCCAGAACGATAAGAAAAACACCACGTGACGTACCAATGCTGAGGTGCTGTAGGGCAACTTCAACGTAAATGACAGCCAAAACTCTTCCGCCGTGCACGACAAAGACCGCACTGCGGCTGGACGACTCGCGGTCGCGACCTGCAAGGCGCCTTTGAACGTCGCTGGTAACGATCAGAGACCGAACATCGCGCGTGTGCCGCCACTTGGTGGCGAGACACTTTGGCCACTTGTGATGTGTGTCGGCCACCCGGCTGAGAAGAACAGCACTAGCGAGCTATAGATGTACTAGGAGTAATACTGTGCAATGCATGACACGCACGCAATGCACCTGCAGACCAGGCTAACATTGTCGGTGGTGCCAATGCATTGCTGCGGTCGGCTTCCTGTAAAAAGGGTACTTTTTGCGCCGGACTTTTATGGGTCCAACTACTTTTATCCCAAATGACAAAGGGGTACACATTCAGTCTGACAGGCATGTTGGTATTCACCAACCTCTCCATATCATGGTACCCATCATGTATTGCAGGCTCCATTTGGGCACAATGATCTGCCGTGTCGTGCAATCGCGGATCTGAACTTCTCTCTCTTGCTTCCAGTATGCTTCAAAAGGGTCAAAAACAGCGCGTCAGCGTGCCCCTTGATGTGCAAAGCCCCAATTTGCGCGTTGAAGCAGCCCTGGTCTCTTCGAGCGGGCGATCTCGGTGCCACAAACGCGCCGCGGCCTGCTGGCGTCAGTAAAAGCCTGTTCTGGAGACCATCTGCCACGCGCAGTGATGTCCGCCTCTCTAGTCGGAACGTGCCATTTTCAATCAGGACTCCGAACGGCTCCGAGTCTTGATACCAAAGGCTCCGACAGCACCGCAGTGTACTTAAGTACTAGATAGCCCAACCAGCGAAAAAGCCCTCGGACAGGAAAAAAACAAGCTAGTTGACAACCATGACGAATGCGCTGGACGACTACGCGCACGCGACCACGACGCGCAACATGGACGAGAACGTGACGACGCTGCCGTACGACGAGAAGGACGACCTGGAGTCGCTCAAGGCGCGGCTGCAGCGCCGCAAGAAGCCCATCTACGCGGGTCTGGCCTTCCTGGCGGTCGTCGTCATCGGCGTCACCGTCGGCGTCTCGGCCAAGGGGAGCTCCACCGCCAACACGGAGTCCGCTCAGGTGCGTCATGCCCACCACCTAATATAGGTCTGCCGGATGGACCCATTTGTTAACCCGTCGTTCTGTGATGCTGTATCTACTGTTAAGCAGAAGGACACTGTGCAGTCCACCTCGAGCGGTGCGAGTGACGCCACCAAGACCGGTCAGCAGACACAGGTGGACAGCGACGCTAGCGCCGTCCAGGCCGCCAAGGACGCGGCCACGTCGTCCCAGAGCTCGGACTGGAGCTCGTACAGCCGCTCGGGATCCGCCTCGGACTCGGTCGCGGGCGAGGCCTCCGCCGGTCAATGGTCGCTCAGTAAGTCCACAGACCCCAGCACTATTGCGTTATCTGGTACTTTGTACTGACGCGTTGTTGCCATTGCAGACTCGACGGACGGTTCGTCGTCTACGCCGACCCCGACGCCTACGCCGACGTCCACTGAGGCCACGCAGAGCTCGTCGTCGGGCGAGGCGCTGGCCTACAGCATCGTGGACTTCGACTGGACGGACGCGTCCAAGTGGGAGTACGCCAGCGGCAGCTCCGTGTCCTCGGACATGGTCACGAGCAGCGGCATCACGCTCACGCCTTTGAACAGCAAGGAGCCGATCCGCACCATCGAGGGCTGGAGCGGCGAGAAGGTCGTGTACATCGAGTGGGAGCGCTCGAGCACGAGCGACACCAACATCTGGATGCTCAACACCAAGCTGCAGGACCAGTTCGCCACGGGCAACGGCTGGCCCTACTGGGGCGAGCTCGACCTCTTCGAGATGTTCACGCAGGACGCGAGCGACCACCCGGCGTACGACTACAGCGGCTTCGGCGGCTTCTCGGACGTGTCGAGCTACGGCCAGCTGACCATGCACATGGGCCCCGCGACGGCCGACGGCAGCCCGTGCTTCTGCCCCGCCAGCCCGTCCAAGAGCGCGTGGTACGACAATACGCAGCCCATGACGTCCGGCTGCACGGCGCAGTTCTCCAACAACGAGAAGAACTCGATCGCGGCCGTCTGGGGCTCGGACGGCAACGGCCAGTTCATCCAGCTCATCCAGAACCCGACCATCACCAAGGGCGGCAAGCTCAACGGCAAGGACACGTACGACGTCGGCACGGGCAGCGGCGGCGTCACGTCCAAGATCTACAACAACGCCGAGCTGTTCTGGGGCGTGGACGCGACGGACAAGTGCGCGACGGCCGGCGGCCACGACGCCACCTCGGGCTTCCCCTTCTTCGAGAGCTTCCGCATCATCCTCGAGGAGCAGAAGAAGGGCGACTCGAGCGCCTCCTTCACGGTCACCAACATCCAGATCTTCTCCAAGAACTAGATGCCGTCGGAGGTGAGGTGAACAGTTTTTGCTTGGCCTACGTATGCTTGTTAATGAAGGCGACCGGCGTCCGACTAGTGTGGCGTGCACTAAGCGTACCGGTAGAATGAACAGGTGGCTGATGCGCAGGAACATCAGCCAGCACCAATCCTTTCAGGTCGTCTAAGTAGTGAATCGCGCTTTCATCGAAGTAGTATGTATAAGTTCTTAGTCACGAACAGCACGGCTTGTTGCTATAAATTGTCCACGCCGACAGACCTACGGTTTTGCCGAAAAGCTATGACGAGAGTCGCGACGGAGCCAACTTCGACCCATCGACCGCAAGACACTTGGTGCGCCGCAGTCGCGTCCTCATGGCATCGCTGCCACATTGGGGAACGAAGCGAGTATTCCGTGGAGCGACTACTCGCTTTTCGCGACTACTACCAGCGTACTTCGACCACGAGGGTCTTCACCGTTTGCATCCTGTCTCCAGTTCCATCGTTGCTGACGGCCCTCCTGCTTGACTGCCTCCACTTCAACCCCCTTCAGCTGGCTGGCAAGCCAACTACGCAGCTTGGATTCGACTACTTTTTGCCATGACGTTTGCGTCTAGGTGGTTTACCAAGTGCGAGGGGTCATTGAACCAAACTTCATCTCAATAGCTGGAGCTGCGAAAATTGCACTGCCCACCGCGTCTTGTGCGTGCTAACGATGATGGTCTTAACAGCTACATGGAAATTCCCCACTCCATTCGGCTATATCCTTATCATCGGTCCGTACGTGGCGTTTTTCTCTTTCTTCACGGTGTTGGTCATCGGCCCACGCAAAGTTTTGAGCTCCTTGGCATTGCGAGAGGAGTTGAAGTCGGAGTTCTTCATAATTTCTAGTCAAGGAGTCGTGGCTGGGTGCTTTGCAATTTTCAGTGCCGTCTTCAACCGACTATCAGGCATCCAGCAGACGGCGTTCATCTTCGTGATGCCCATGATCAAGTTTCTAACCAAGCAAAACATTGCAAACGCCGCTGAGAGGTTTCACGAGTACATGGCTCTGATCGTGGTTTTCTCGGTGGATTTATTCAACGTCTACTATGTGGCAATTTGCATGCAGTCGTCGAAGTCAGTTGGCACGACGCTGATCAAATCGCCGATATTCGAAGAAATTGATGAAGCAGAGGAAAAGCGGTGGCCTTGAGCCGAGGGCAGCAGGATCAGCATGGATTAGTTCGCCAAAGCAACACCAAATCTTCCCAGCCAACGCTTCAACCTCTGCAAAAACGTCCTCGGGTACGCAAGGAGGGGAGTCCATTTCATCACGCGCTGGATCCTCCACTTTAAATGAGAGAGTGGTCGAGGATTCGCTTCAAGCTCTTTTCCACGCGGAGTACATTCTACTGGCCGAGTACATCGAGTTCACCATTCCACTGTTCTACGCCCCGTACCTCGTGGCGATTTTCCACCTGCCAGTAGGGGCATTCTACCCTCCTCACACCGCGGCGACAACAGCATCTAAACTGGGTGAAACAGTGACCAGCATCTTGATCTACTCTGCAGTCGAGTTTGTAGCTTTCGGCGCGCTTCTCGTTCTCTTGAGACGAAAATTCGGGCTTCATCCTCTCTACCAGTTGGCATTTGTACTGGAGACCCACGCGCCTGCCATCCAAGGCCAGCTCTTCCTCTGGACGATCACGATCCTGCACCTGACGCTGCAGCACTACGGTACGGACGCACTCTATAGGTCTGCTCAACAGGTGAAATCTTTCCTACCCCCCCCCCTTCTCCTTTTGCCTCGCAGGAGTCGACTTCAACATTCTAACAACATGACACTTTTGGGATAATCCCGGATAGTTGGCATTATAAATTAGATACGGTAACCTCACAGCTTCTGTCGTCTTGGCGTGTGGTGGGGGCCCTCCGGATACGAATAATGATGAGTGCAGCGCTTGCGTTCGTGGAACTTGACTTGAGAGTTGGCTTCCCTCTCTTGAGTGATGCATTGCTGCTTCTTGGCCTAGAGGAGGCTGCTGCGGCGTCGACGGCGACGTCGATCCTCCGTGGGGCTCTCGCTGTCGCTGATGCGCGTGACGAGCGTGTCTCGTGGGCGCATGTGCTCGACGATCTCGCTGTCCTCGGACGGTCGGCACCGGCGGAAGATGCTGCTGCTGCGGCGCTCCTTGAGCTCGACGCCGTCGTCGCTGCCGACGGACAGGCGCTTGTCGCTGCGGTGGAACGGGTGGCGCATTGTTGGCAGTGGAGTGGACTGGGGGAGGGGGTTGGTGGCTTGAGCTGTGCGAGGCCAAATGCGAAGTGAGGCGAGGAAGGAGGTGCGAGGGCGTAATGCAGGAAGTGCGCAATGCTCGGACGGCAACATCCGCGCAATCATTCCGCGTGCATAGTAAAGACAAGTGACGGGTGATTACGACGAGCGTCGGACACCGCAGCCAAAAAACCAAATGGATACTTTGGTGTACTGTAGAAGCCTTCTGGGAAGTTGCTTGGTGCTGGGCAGGCGCCATCTGAAGAGCGCAGGGAGAATGGAACGCCTTTATTTGCCGCTGCTGTAGTGTGTGGCTATGGGGGTGGAGATGACGGGCATGTTGCCGATGTGCACTTGTGCATTTTGCGGCACGTGGAGGTCAGACTGCCGCTGTCGCAGGCGGTCTCTCGGGATGGAGCATCCTCCTTTTGAGACCAGCATTTTTGCTGGAGGTGACGGCAGTCGAGTGAGTGGGGGCGGCGCGTCAATCTGCTGCTGCAGACTTGTGCCGGGCGTTCGTGAAGTGAATCACCTCAAGTGATACACTATGTATCATACACATGAACGACACCATAAACACACACTGTCGCAGTCTCACCTCAGCCGTCTCGATTTGCGCGGCCAAGTGCCGTCAACGGAAAATGCAAAACATTCTTGCCCAGGACACGTCGGGTCTGGGTGTTGCTGCCACCGTCGAGCTTGGTAAATAATGTGAAGTTCACATTGTTAACGCGTGTAGATGCAGATACATGGGTCGACTCGTACCTATATATCCACTTTTCCTTTTGCGCAACAGCGCCGAATCGGTCGGCGACCTTCATCTAGGTTCCGGTGCTCGACGTCCTACCACATCCTGCGAGACAAATAGCTTCATCGCCGTATGCACAACTGGCAACAACGAGACGCAGGCAGTGCAGTGCATACGCCAAAGCCACCAGGTAGCCCAGCAACAACTTGTACACGATGATTGCAATTGGTATGGTGCTGGTAGCAATAGCAACATTACAGTGAGCACCCGCTGCTTCTGCTGCTTTAAGAGGGGGGAAGCAAGCCTACGCCTCCAGCGACACGAAGAGCTTGCCGGCCATGGACTTGAGGTCACTGAGCGAGCTCTTGACGTTCGACTGCAGCGACCTGGCAGGCCGCGCGCCTTCCCCTCCCTTCCCGTTCCACAACCTGCCCAGCCACTCTTCCAGTGGCGTAAAGTCGAACACCTTTTCCATCTCCTCCCTCTTCTCCTTGGACACATTGAGGCACTGCAAGTCGGAGACCACCTCCCAGTCGCCCCCGCCACTCGTGGACGTGGCGTCCGAGACCAGGAGCCAATTCGCCTCGATGTCCTCTTTGCTGCTCTGCTGGCAGCACTTTTGGGTACATTTAGGGACTTCTTGCGCCACCCCACGCGATTTTAGGTCCGCGTAGTAGGCGTCCCATTTTTCACTGGAAAAGTCGAAACACTCGGCAAAAGCCTTCAACTTGCCGTACGAGCTCCAGGGCACCGACACGCGGCCAGACATGACCATGCCCGCGATCTCACTGGCCGTGGCCTCCCCCGAGTACATGTAGAGGAAGTCTGCCAGACTCACGTAAACCACGGCCACCTCCGGCAAAAATGGGTCTTGTGGGTGCAACGTGGTGTTATCCACTTCCAGTCCTGTTGCCAATGTATGCAACGGTTATGACAATATTATTCTCTGAAAGTAGAATATGAAGAAAATATTGGCGTGAGGTGTAGTTACCACGACGCATGTCGATGGTGCGCATGCATGCGATATTTTCCTTGTCGTTGGGAGACGCGCGGAACATGAACGTCACCTGCAGGAGGAGGGAGAAAATCAATATTGGCACGGTTAGCACTAGCCTAACTGAGCCGGTTAACACTAGCCTAAACTTTAGAGACAGACGCACCACGCCGCGGAACTCGGCACCCGGCAGCTTGGCGAAGCGCAGGAAGTCCATGAGCTCGTTCAGCTTGGCCAGCAGGCCCTCGCACACGGCGGCCATGGCGGCAGCAAATGGAGAGGACGCTTCGTCTCCACTCCACCGTTTTTAGGTGAAATTCTGAGAATATTTTTTACTTTTTATTAGCCAATTATCGGTTAGAGAATTTGGAGTCAGAAAAGAGTCAGCACCCAAGTTGAAGCAATTTTAGGTAACCCGTACTCACTAACTTAGCGGATCGAAAGTATCTATTAGATGTCGAGGAAGTATCGGGCCATATCGTCCTCTGCTGCCTTCCTCGCAGCAGTGTTACTCTCCATACACTCGTCATGTATCGCCGTTACCTCTTTGGACAAATTGTGGTTCGATCCATGGTACTTGATGAGGCAGTTGGGCGGGATGGAGGCCACCAGGTCTCGCACTGGGGACAGGCAGCCAGACGCTCGACAGAAGATGGTCAAATCCTTGGCGGTGAACTGTAACACGTCGAAGAGGGACGACACGCGCGTTTGCACTCTGATCTCAGCAGTCGCGCAGTTGCTGAAGAGTGCGCTGTTGTCCAGAGTGGCGACGATGGGGTCGCTCACGCTCGAGTCGCACAGTTCCTGGGCGGAGACTGTTGCAGCGAAAGAGATGAGGATGGCGGTGGTAACGCGCATGGTACCTCGTTGTCGGGGGTATGACAGTCCTGGCGCTCGAACAAGAAAATGAAAAGTGAGCTTTTAGGTGCAATGGGGTGTTGAATGGCAGGTTGCTAACAGGCGCGTAGATGAGCGAAGACCCTTTTGCCCGACTCAAGTGGCGAGTTTCGGTGTGGCCGGTGTGAACTCCGGCAAGTTGCTGATTTGAGTCCGCGTGTAACCCAGGAACTCGACTTGACCCGCAGTATTGTCTATTATACCTCGTCACCGTCGATCCCGCCAGTGTAGTGTCGGACTTTGGCGGTGTCACCATGGCGGATCGAGAGCTCAGAGCCGCATAGTGTTGAGACGATCTGTAGCGTATTTTTTCGTGAATGGTTTTGACACTGGGAGAATGCCTGAGTTTGCTTGCGTTGCGCTGCTAATTGATCGAAAGGCCAGTCAGTGAGCACAAATGAGTGCAAGCGTGGCGCGTGCTGGGTGCCTGCAACCTATCACTCGACAACTTCACTTGGCTCACTTCAACTGCGAATGATGTAACAGCTTAGTCGAATCTACTGGAGCCATGGGTGGGGGGGGGGGCGTTGAGAGAGTCCGGTCAAATGATAGCAGAAGAGCAACTCAGCGCAAATAGCTTGCCACCGCTGAACAAACTTTTTTCACGTCTGTGCGCCAAAAGTAGATTGATTCATTCGCACGAGCACACCCTGGTGCAGGAGCTGCTTGCCTCACTTTACCCCCTTTCGTTCGCTAAATATATAAATTGGTGGTTTGTCCTCAGCATTCCGAGCTGCTTCGATCCCATTCTTAGTGCGCAGTGCTCGCGTAAAAATAAAATGTATGACGACGACAATTGTTCGCAGCGTCCTACCTCGCGAAAGTCCACTTTCTCGCGCGACCCAAATGGTGACGCGGATCATAGCCAGCTTAGCTCATTCATGGTCGCCACGCTTTGCTCGAGTTCGACGCAACCTCGCTGCGAATTGGGACGACAACAAGATCAGCCACCGCAGTGAGTACTCCGTGGAACGATTGCTGGCATTTCGCGACTACCATCGACGCACCTCAACCACCCGCGTCATCCTCGTTTGCGCCTTGACTCCACTCCCAGCCTTGCTAGTGGCACTTGCGGTGGACTGTATCCCCTTAAAATCCCCGTCCGATGGGTGGAGAGCCTACTACACGCTCTGGATACGGCAACTCATTGCCATGTTCTTCGAGTCGCACGGCGTGGTGTTGCAAGTGCGGGCTGTGATCATGACGGGAACCATCTCTGACGTTGGAGCAGTCACTATCGCTCTGGGGACCGCAACTTGCGGGGTGGCAGTCACTGTGGCAGTGGCTGCGACCTGGAAGTTCCCCATCCCTTTCGGCTACGTGCTTCTGCTCAACGTGTACGTGCTGCTCTTCTCCATCTGCATGATTTTCGTCATCGGACCCCGCGTTTTAGCAAGCTCGCTGCTGCTGCGCCAGCAAATCAAGGCCCAGCTGCTGATTCTAGCGAACCAGGGCATCGTGGCGGTGTGTTCCCCCATTTTTAGCGCGATTTTCAACCACCTTTCCGGAAAACACCAAGCGCTTTTCATTTTCGTGATGCCTCTGATCAAACATTTCACCAAGCAGAATATTGCGAATGCGGCCAGGAATTCACACGAATATTTGGGGCCGATGGTCGTGTTCTCCGTGGACTTGTTCAACGTTTACTACGTAGCGATCTGCATGCAGACGGCGAAATCTCTACTCACCACGTTGATTATCATCGCAGCCGACAGTTTCCACGTGGTCGTGGCTTTGCGAGGAATTTACCGTCGCGCGGGGCTGCTTCAAGTGAAAAGGGACGGAATGGCAGGCCGGAAAATTATCTGCGGGACTTGTTAGACGTCGTCCACGAGAAAGCGGGCCCTCAACCGTACGCTAAACGCCCCATTCGCCTCCTCGCGCCATTTCCTTTGCACATTTCGGACGAAAGTAGCGGCTTTTTGAAGAAATTCTCGAAAACCGGGAGGTTTTCCAGCAAGGTGATTGTTATTCGTCGCAGCTCCACTATTCCCAACCGCATAGGGAATCACGCAGGTATTCAGAGCAGACTGTCGTTGCCCATGAGAACCATCGCTGTGCAGCAGAAGCAACAACTTGGGGCATTCCACCCAAGCGGACCTGAATCTGACAGAAACAAGAAATTGGCTAACCTGATATCCTCCAATTTGAGCGATGCGGTGGTTCGTGACGGGCTGCAGACCCTTTTCCACTCGGAATACATCCTCATGGCGGAGTACATCGAGCTCATGATCCCGTTGCTCTATTCGTTTTACCTAACGGTGCTGTTTCACCTCCCAGTGGCGGTTTATTACCCCAATACGGCCTCTATGACGGTCCACGAGCTGAGAGTGGGGGTGGCCAGCATTTTGGCGTACGCGGCGATCGAAGTGGTGTCTTTTACGTCTTTTGTGGCGGAACTTCGGCTTCTCGCCTCTGTACCAGTTGGCATTTGTACTGGAAACGCAGGCTCCAGCGCTACAAGGGTACCTCTTCATGTGGACCATTACAATTTTGCATCTGACACTAGCACACTATGGTACGTGTACTGGAGGAGTGAGGTTTTGGCTTGGTGTGAATTTTGACATTGCGTTTTGTTTTTCTTTGTAAACTTCAAGGTGTTGATTTCAATATTCAAGTTACGTGACGTAATGAATCTCATTAAAAACTGCCATACTGCGCAAATTACACTGCGGTAATTTGCGGCTAGCAAGTCAGAGAATAGCCACATTGCTTGCCATGCTTTGGTACTGTCAGCGAGGCCACTGGTGCGTCATAAGTAATTTTATGGTTGCAAGTAGTAATGGCCGGATCCAAGTTGTCGGGCGCCGCGGATAAGGTGTTGCGACACCAGTGCAGTACACATACTTCGGCATAAACTTTGAGCCTAGTTGGACAAATCGTGCCTGAAGTGGCTATGGGCATGGCGGGTGTATAAGCCGTAAAGAACGTGAATGCTAGGTTAACTCCTTGGTATTGTCTTAAGCGTGATGTGTAAAGCCCTAAAAAACTAGAGTTTCGTCATCGCTGCGATGACGACAGTCTGTGGATTCGTTAGAGTTTTTAGACTCCAATTCCCATTATTTGAAGTTTTCCCCTCTTAATTCCTGAGTACCTGTTTTATAGCTGTCTTTGCCAACTGTGGTGATGGCGCCCTTTACAGTAGGCTGCGAAGGGAGTAAACCAGTAAAGATTTTACTCTTGTGCGTCTCTTACAACCACCAGATCTCCACTCCACGCACTCGAGCTTGATTATGATATTTCAGGATGCGAAATGATGATGCGGTCAGTGGCAGCTTCACGACTCCAGAGTCTCTTTTCACATTTCAATTCACGTTTCCACCCCCAAAAGCCCGTCCAATTCCAAGGACGTTTGCAACATGCGTCTTCAGAGTATAGTTCTGCTGGTTGCTGCTACCTTGCTGGCCGCCGGACTGGTCGTGACAGACTCGAGGACTGTGGTGACGCCTAGTTTTCGAACCTCGCTCCGAAATGACATCCCCCCAACCGCACGATTCCTACGCACTGGCACCACCACCGATGAGGACCAAGACGCAAGAACTTTGAATCTCATAATTGCCCGCTTGGAGAGTCTCACGAACCGTTTGAAATCTGCAAGCCAATTGAAGGTGAAGGAGCTGGTGAATAGTGGCCAGAACATCGACGACGCTTTTCTCTCCCTCAAACTTAAGGACATCAAGACGGACCTTTTCACCAACCCCGACTTCAAGATTTTGGCGCGCTTTGTCAAAGAGACCGATAAGCAAACCGCGACAGAGTCCATGCTCGCGACACTGCAGAAGAACTTTGGAGCGAAAGAGCTCATATTGATGCTCCAGGAGGCGAAGGACGCGAGTAAAACCGCCAAGAAGCTGCAGATAGTGCAATTCGAAGACTGGGCCTCCAACTCAATGTGGCCGGAAGTCGCCGTCGCGCAGGTACTCCAGATCGATGAAAAACTCATCCTGCGCAGCCATCGGTTGTCGCCTGCCAGACAAATCCGAGCTGCATACAGTGCCTAGTTGGACAAGACGTATCCCGGCTGGACTAGATCGTGGCCGGCGCCAAAGCTTCTACCGGAAACCACTTGATCGCTGCATCTTGGTCGATTGAGGATTACTAGGAACGTAATCAGTTCGCCAACGCGGATTCAAATTTCTCGAAGATTGTTGCGAGGTGCTCGGGTGCTACATATTTGCTAGTACAAGTCGATGAGTTCCAAGTAATTGCACATAAGGCTCATATGTGAGTTAGCAAAGATGTCACACACGGCATCGTCGCCCTGGACGAGACCCGGAGGAAGGCACAATATGAATGTTTCTGGTTGAGCAACGTATCCAACCATTCGGCCTACGGACGTGAGCAGGCTTATAGAGAATTTAAGCGAGAAAGCAAAAGGAAAATGTCCTAAAGGGCTCGCAGCACGTTATTTACGAGCAAGGCCTTGAGATTGGGGTCAGTTCATAGTTGCAAGTTGATGCAGTACACAAGTTCAAGCGACGTCTTCTCGCGTCCTTGAAAATCTGTATCTCCGCTTACAACAATGTAACGCAAACTCGAATGACGAAAACGTTGCGGCCTCCCATGGTATTTACTTGGCTACGCTTTTTTTTACGACTTCTAATCACCACTAAAGCTATCATCGCCCATTTACGTCGCTGGCCTGATACTTGGCTACGTTGCACGATCCAACCCTATACAGTACGTCATAACACCTGCAAGTCCGTATTTTTATTTTCGCGGCAATCCAAGTTTGCGTTATGTTCGTCATCGTTGTCATCGAGTTTCTGTACGATTCACGGAGCCCAGAACGTTTCGTCGGAATGTCGTACAGGTTCATTCAGTAGGAATCCGTGTAGTGTACCTACCAAGGAATAAAATGTTTTCCTTTTACTTAATACTAGTAGTTTATTATTACTACTATATCTATACTAATAAATTACGTTTCTGTGAGTATGTCACGCTTTTTAGACTATTTGATTGCTGACTTCCCAATATACTGATCTAAATGACAAACGGAACTCTTCATGACCCAAGTTCGACATTTCTACAAGACCATCCAGTGCTGTGGACCCACTCGATCCGGAATAGGAGGAGATAGGCGTCCATGAAATCGCCACGGAAAACACCATCAAGTCATAGTGCAGGTCTTGATGGAGACGAAGAGCTTCGTACCGATGTTGTTAACCGTGAAGAGATCATTACATGTATTAATAGTTGTAGGGTATTTAATCTCCTCGCACGTGCTTCAGAACAGTAAAACCTCGCTTGTGAGATAATAAAATACCAGTAGATCGGGGCCTCAGTCGCTAGTTGTCCCCGTGTAGAAGAGCGCGCTGGATGAAAACCACCAGAACAACATAGGACATCTATCAGTTATGTAATGAATCGCAATACAATGGTCTCCAAGAGGGACGAACATAACGCACTGGCCTATTCGTTAGAGCCAGGTGTCCTCTTCAAAGCTCAAGGAGTATCAATGCATAACGCGCAATCGGATGACAGGATATCCCTGCAATGCGCTGACCGATCATCAAACTCCATGTCTGAATGCTTATGGCACTTCCGACGGCCCACCAGCGCCTATGACCGAACTTGTCATTCTGGAAGTTACTCTCCAAATTCCCAGTGTTTCAGTCCCCACCATGGTTTCCAAGTCAAACCCACTCAACTGCTCAACACTGTTGGCACTTCTTGCTCTAGCAGCATCCGTCGGTCGCGTACTCGCCACTTCGCACTCCAAGATCACCGTCGCTAGTACCCCGGTGTCCTACGATGTTGTAGACCCAAACCAAGTTGGCGGCCAAACCCCTCGGCATTTGCGGGCTTTGGGGATCGAAGACGACGACAGCTCCGTAGAGAGAGCTTTTCCTGAGCTTAATTCGATGCTGAAGATAGTCAGGCCCGACAAACAGGACAAAGCCAAAAACCTCTTCGTGCGTCTGAAGCTTCACGAGTCAACATCCAATCTCTTCGGCAATCCGAAGTTCCAGGAGTGGATGCGATCCGTCGAAAAGTCCTACAAGAAAACCCCGGAGGCGGCCGATGCAGCCATGGTTCTGACGATGACGACTCAATTCGGAGATGACGGGCTAGCCAAGCTACTTCTGCTCGAGAAGACCTCCCCCGACACGAAGGAGATGGCTACACGATTGGAGGGCGTGCAGTTCAAGAATTGGATTGATAGCAAGCAAACAGCCACCGGCGCTTTTAAGCTGCTTAAACTGGACCAAGACGCGGGTGACATCTTGAAGAACCCGCTCGTGAGCACTTGGATGTCGTACGTGAAGCTGCGCAAGGAAAGCCCAATCAACGAGATGCTCCTTCAACTGAAAACTCGCTACGGCGATGGAGCTCTCGCTCGGATGCTTGGTTTGGCGAAGCAAGACTCCAGCACCAGTTCCATCGCTGGGCAACTGGAGGAGGCGCTAGTGAAGGGGTGGTTAAACAAGCGAAAGACGGACGACTACGTGTTCCGGCTCCTCCGACTGAACCGAAAAGGAGCCGATCCGTTTGAGAGTCCGGTGTGGAACACTTGGGTCTTGTACGTGACGAAACACGAGAGGCCGTACGAGTCGATGCTCTCGGTCCTCAAGACCCACTACAGCGAGTTAGAAATCTCGCGCATGCTGGCGGCAGCGACTGGAAGCGAAAGCACGCGTGGCGTTGCAACGAGGCTGGCGAAAGTGCGGCTCACAAGTGAAACGGTGAACGGCGGCGAGAGTGCAGCCGCGGCTTTTCAGCGTATTAAGTTCGACGAAAATGGCGAGAAATTGTTCCACAACGCGGAGTTTGTAGCGAAGGCCGAAAGGTACGGGACGAAGGACACGCTGCAAGTACTGAGGGCGCACTACACCGACGAACGTTTGGCAGCAATACTGAACGTGGCAAGCCAGGCTCCCTCTAAACGCACAAAGGTCGTCGCCATCTCCTTGCAGCTACAACTGTGGCAAGACCAAAGAAGAAGTGCCGACGAGGTTTTTAAGCTGCTCAAGTTGGAACAAGCAGGCGGCAGCGTTCTCCGGAGCCCGTTTCTTGAAACTTGGGTCTTGTACGCAGAGAAGCTGGGCAGGGTCGACAAGAAGGTGGGCGAGTTTGCGGCAATTGCAGTCCTAGAGCGTCGTTTTGGGGGTGTGGAGTTTGCGAAGATGCTCTCGGCTGCAAAGAGTGATGGCGCGCTGAAGGCTAGCAGTGTCATTGATCAGTTACAGAAACTCCAGTTCAAGAAGTGGTTCAAGGCGGGAGAGGCGCCCAAATCGGTATCGGAAAAGGTCATCAACAGACAGGACCCAAGAGGCTTAGATTTAAGAGGCTCAGATGTTGCTTATGGATATCAGGACTTCTACAAAGCTATTGTCGCTAGAGGTGGCCTGAAGGATAAGACCCGTCTAGACTCGATAATCGAACGCGTTTAACACGTAAGGTTGGGATATTATTCAGGGCGAAGTTACCCAAATCCAAGGGGCCGATCTCAGTTCCGGAGTAAATCGGTTTTTAGCCATGGAAAGAAAATGGACAGCTCGGATCTCCATAAAAGTTTGAACATGCTGATGCCTACTACTACAATAGTTTTGCGTGACTGACTCCAAGCCGATGGTGCTGACTTGAATTGGAAATTAGGCGAGCAGCCGAAGCTCTTCTCGCTAAATACAGTGTGGGAGTCCCCACCACTTGAAGTACTCTCCACTGCTGCAGGTTCCTTAAGGTTGGTTTCTATGACTTGTGCTTGTGAAACAATACTAATACTTCTACTGAAGTAATTCACGTGGAAATCAAGCAGTTAGTCGGTTTTACTTTCTGCTTCATAGGGGGTCGATCACCAATTCCGTTGCACCAAGCATTTGAGTATAAGTGGTCTACCACAGCTCACAGAAATAACCAACCCAAAACAAAAAATAGCAGATAGAATAATAGCAAAACAAATTTTTCGAGCATTTGGTCTCATTTCGTAGCTATTTCTAAACACAAAGCATTTTCAAATCGCTGGTTAACCTAAAATTTGTCGAAGTGTTTGGGCTTCGCCTGCCGAATATTAGAGCAACAAGCCTCGGGGCGGAAGACAGAGTAAATGTTTGGCCGCCTCGGACAGGACCCACAGCCTAATTAAAAGCTTCTCCGAGATCACATGGGTCGACCGCAAGACTACGAGGCTTACCATTTCCTCCTCTTGAACTAGACAACAGAAAGCCTTAAGAGCATCTACAGCGGCGAGTCTTAAAGGCCGTCATATCAGAAAAGTAGCGCGATTGAGACTCGGGCGAGTTTTAAGGCCTCGAGAGGTAGGCCTTATAGACGGTTTTAACTTCAGGGAGCCCTATCGAGTCTTAAAATAAGACCCCAGTACCGTTCTACATCTTCTAGCTGGTGAAATTATCGAGCTAAATCTCATATGAAGAATGAATACCTTTCCAGCAAATGAAACAATTGGCGGGAACCCGGGTTCCCGCAAATGATACCGACCAAATCGAGAATTATTTATTTAATTTCTGGCCTCCATATTGGTACCCTCGGGGCAAGTTAAACCCTCATATCTAAGTGCTGTCGATGAAGGACTACCCTCAAAATATGCTACCGGTACTGAATAGACCCGAATAACATACCTTACCATGTCCAAGTTTATCTTTCATGAGCAGGAGGATAGCGATGAGACCGGGAAGCACTGTACCGCTGCACCAGGCAAGCGACTGGATTTTTGTGGAGAGACACAGGACGAGGGCGAAGGTAAATTAACCTTCCGTTCCCCTACTGAGCTTTAGCTGCGTTCTATGGAGGTCATAGACCAACACTTCAATGCATTTGCTCATATGCAGCGCTCACTCCGAGTGTGACTGGCGTTAACAGCGAAAAATAAAATAAAATCAATGCATTTGCTCATACATGTGTACCGGTAGTTTTGGGGTAACCGGGGTCCCGATGGGTACCCGGGTTCCCGCCAATTGTTTCAAATGGTAATAAGAGTGCCGGACACACTACACCCAGTGAGGCATGGTAACAGATACTTTGTCCATGAGACAACAGTGGCGCTGTTGCCATGTGAATGCAATACTCAACAACACCTCTATTTTTTTCCGGTTCGCACTTCCCTCTACAAACCTCCGTGCTCAAGAATAAACTATTGACGATGCTTCTGTTCCTCTCAAACTTACAGAAGCGAACTCACTTTGATGGCGATGAGCTCTCAGCTTCATGTGTGACGCACGGCTATCATAGGCATTGTCTAGAGTTTCGACAATATCTATTCCCCCCGTAATTTGTAAAAGGGTGGCATGGTCTCGACCAAATACGCGCTGTACGCCTTGCGCACTTGTCTGCGAGCATCCGTAATCGGGAGAGCGCTCCACTTGGCATCGCCCAGCTTGAAGACGTTTTTGATAATGTCAGTCGCGAACAATCTTTCTTTGGCCCACTGCGCGAACTGCGCCATCTGCAACTCATTGGCCATCGTCTGCGTCGACTCAACCTGAGTCGCCTTCTGGAGCATTACCGCCAAATTAGCCTCACTTTTAAAATGCGACTTCAGCTTCCCGAGCACCACCGCCTGCGGGTTCATCTCTCGGTTGTTGACGTAGTTCACCCACACCTTGAAGTTGGATTTCTTGAGCAGATTGCGCCTGATAAGATTGAGCTTGAGGGAGGAGAAGGCATCGTCAGCGTTCGTGGCGGTTTCCAGCAACTGCTTCAGCTTAGTCTGGCTCGAGGGATATACGAGGAGCGTGGCGCTCTCCGTGAAACCTCTATCCTCGTTGTCCGCGCTGGTGACGGTACCAGTTCGTAGAAGCCTCGATGCTGGGGTGTCACTCTCGAGCGAACGAATTGCTGCTGGGACTTCAGCCGCCAGCGCCGTCTTCGAGTCGACCTCAGCGGTGGCGGAGGCCAGAATGGTGGCAACAGCAACCAGCGCAGCAACGTAGAGACGCATGTTCACGCTTGGATAACGCTCTTGGGGTGTGGACACGGACGTCTGGGGGTGAATTGTGAAATGACGACTGGCTGGAGCCAAGGACTGCTCGGTACGCGCACCGATGCCACGGACAGTGAGGCAGGCACAGGATGGCTCCAAGGATGGGAGGTCCAGTTGGACGGGAAGGTGTGGAGGTCCAGTTGGACGGGAAGGTGCGGAGATCCAGACAGTTTGTGCTGTTACAGTGATCTCTACATCTACTGTATTGCACACTTGTGTTTTGATCGTAACCCCCCCCCCCCACAGATAGGTATAATACCTATTGAAGTGCAATACCTGTATCTAATTAATAAGCTTAATGCAGGGAGAGGTTTATCTGTGGCCCTACCTATACAGTTATGTAAACGCATTCTCGGTGTGGGGGCCAGACCATATTACATGAAACAGGACACCTCGTTCGGGAGAGTCTAAGGAGGGCCATTTCCAGGCAAGGCCATTTTCATAGACAATGCATTTGATCATGATCTGATGAGGAATGGGCGAGGGCGAGCGGATGCGAGCGCGAGTCTCACTTAGTGCATTCACTCGTTCCAACGCCCGCCGATTAGGCGGGGCTGGTCTGCGCGAGCGAGCACAGCGAGCGCTGCAACCCGATATATATATATATATTCTAGACACCGCGCCTGGCCGAGTCGAGGACTTTGACTAAGGGGGTGGGGCAGACCGCGCAGAGGTGCCCCCTGAGCGAAGCGAGAGAGGGGCGGGCTCGTTTGTTAAGTTACGAACGAGCAAGGTTACGAATCGTAACCTTGTGCTACAGGGCTTCTGGGATTCAAGATGGGATCGTGCGGCTTCGAAGTGATCAACAGATCACAAATCCAGGATCACGAGTGACAGCAAACCGCGTCAACAGTATTGACTCAGTACGGTGGGTACTGAACACCGACCGCGCAGATACGGTAGGTACTTCTGGCGCGAAGCAACTGCAGTGCCACAACACCTCTTCACACCATTCAACACACGTGTGTAACTAGGACGCCGGAGAGCTCGGAACACAAGCTAACGCACCAGTGCTCAGCACCGATTCGAAGTAAGCTGGCCTATTCTTCAATGAAATGCTCACGATCTCGCTTGCTTTTCTCTTAACGGTGATGGGTTTCCTGCCAGTTCACTTTTATGATCCTTCACTTAGAGCGTGTTCGCTAGGTAGCTGGAGATGGAGATGACCTCTCATCAACTCTATTTCTTGTCTTTTGATTGGTCAAAATAGTTTAGTTCACAACGTAGCTGGAGATTAAGGCAGTTCAGCCGCACACACAATGAACGAAGAGTTGTACTGATTGCTCCATGCTCAGCTGTCGCACAGGTTGCAGTCCTCCTATCAGGATAATCCGACGATGCGCCGCAAGGCCCTAAGGAACAGATTCGTACCGTGACCTCACTGCACTTTGAGCCCATGCTACAGTCAGCCGCGTATGCAAGTTGGTTTGAAGACAATCTTCGCTGCACCAAGCCAACTTTCCTACGTATTGCTGGTTTACTACGAGATCAAGGTGTTCTGTTTGCTGCTGCCAAAGTACGGCAGCATAGCTTTGAGAAGAAAGTCGCAGCCGTGTCAAAACGAGCCCGCAGCAGGGCATCAGCTGCTGCAGTCGCCCACGCAAAGGAGGGTTGCTTCGTAGCGATAGACGTTTCACCAGTATTGGCCTTCTTCTTCTGATTCCCAACGCGGCGATGTGAGTCTTGGTTGCGGGCTGACGCAGCTACAACTCCGAGCGCAAAAAGCTGGCTGGGTGTCTCTGAATGCGGCAGCGGCAGCACCAGCGAGGAAGTGCGGGCGTCCAGCTCCGTTTGAGTAGTGGCCGGTGTCGCATACACAGTCTGGGCAAGAGCAACACCAGAGGCAGGTATGTCCAAACTGGCAGCAGCCAGCACGAGGTCGCCACTGGCTGACGGGAACGGAGGCGCAACTCTCGGAGCGTCATCGGCAGCTTGGTCCATCTTGCCACGCGTCCGGTGTCTCGGGCACAGTGTTCCCGGCGACGAAGAACAGCAAAGTAAGGAGAAGGAGAGCGAGTCGCACTGTGATTGGCTAATTTTACCTAGATGCGCTCTACAAGCTGGAGATGGAGATGCACCAACTCCCTGCAGATATCCATCTCCAGCTGCGTAGCGAACTCGCTCTTAGGGCACTGTACACCACATCTTCAACGAGCCCTGGGGAGAGCCGGGCTCCTGGGCTCTTGGGTGAACCCAAAAAGTCGCGAGCTCAGGCTCCTGGGCTCTTGAGTTCAATAGGTTAAGTGAAAGGAGCCCTCCAGAACTGTGAGCCTTCGTTAAGGGCTCCCCTCACCTGTGTTAAATATCTCGCTGATGATTGGCCGTCATTGAAGTATCTCCAGGTTCTAACCTGAAAAGGCATAGGAAAGAGGGCTTCTCCTTGAGGGGAAGGAAGGACTATCGGCGACGCTGGGGTGGCCTCGGAGCGGCTGTACACATATGAGCGGCGCGAGATCTTCTAGTGTGGCGATCTTTGAGCTCGATCTTCTAGCGTGGCGCATCGATCACGAGAAGTTGCTCGCCTTAAGTCCAGGTAAAATTGGCCAATCAGATATTACTATGAAGAGCCCGTCATAGATTTGAAGCTAAATTTGGGGAGCCCTGGAGGGGAGCCAATGGGGAGCCCGAACCAGGGCTCCTTGATCTCGTACTTATCATGAGGGAGCCCATTTTGTGCGACTTTTGGCTCTCGTTTTAGGGGAAGCCCACTTTTGAAGTAGACGGGCTCGGGCTCGTAGAAGGTGTGCTGTACACCGTACAGATCTCCCCAGAAAATCTGGAATAGCGATGTCGAATGTACCTCGCAGAGCTAGTACAGTTATGCAGACGAGATTTGCGCTTGCTGGATGATGGGTACTAAGTTTAGTGAAAAATGGAGGGACCAGGCCTTCTAGCGGGAAGCAGCGTGCAAGTGCAAGTTGCTAAATAGTTATTATACCAGGAGTGAAAGGCTCATAATGAACTTTAGATAAGTTATTGCTGTGGCACGATGCAATCATGGCGGCATACGGTATGGGCGACAGTACCTTGCCCTGAACGATGGGGCAGTACGGACATTAGAACTCCCTAAACGACCGTCCCAGGCAGCGGTCTACGTGACGCGATGCTCCGCGACCACGACAAACTCATCCTACATGTACAAGTACGAACACAAGAATATCGGCGATATTCGACGAGACAGTATTATATCGCCGACTCCCCTCAACGCCCGCGCTCTGCTTGAAAACTGAGCCGACGGTACAAGACTTTCCCATCAATTGAGTAATTCAGTGCATTGACACTTCTGTCAAGCCCTTTGCAAGTTTCTCAGTTTCTCAACCTCGCAGTTCCTATTGGTCCGACCTTTCCAGATTTGCCCAGGCAGACTGTACAGTAATGTATGAAGTCTAAAAACTAATACTGTAGGGAGGCCGACAGAGCGCTTGTCGGACTTGGCAAGCATTACTTGAAGTCCGAGCTATTGTTACTGTAGCGGTTCATTGTGTACAGAATAACCCCTAGTATTTGCAAGTATTAGCACAGAACAACAGTAGTAGTAGAAGGTACGAATTAACAGATGGCCCAAAAAGTACATTATGAAGAAACCCACCCCATAAGGGTGATTCTATTATGAAGTACATGTTCCGTACAGAGTAGCTACGTGGATGACCTATACAGTGCATGATCTACTACTATAATACACGTGTTATACATGTACCGTGCGCACTCCGGATGATAACACAAAACGTTCTTTATGTGCACTTGGGCCCCTCGTCCTCTGACACCGGAGGAATTAAATAATACAAGTAGATTGGGGCTATTTGTTCAAACGTAAGTAGATCAGACTATCAGCGCACAGCGAGCGAAGCGAGCCCAGGCCTGCGGTTTGTCAGCCCGTGTGCGAAGCACGCGGATGCAAACCCAGGACCCAGCATTGCCCTTCTAGCAAGAGGAGGCCACGCGTGCGAGCCGCAGCGGGCTTGTTAGGGTTCTGTCCAAGCGAGCACAGTGAGCCTTTAGGGTCTGGAGGGCCGCGCGCAGCGCGTAGCAGGGTGATAGTTAAAATACGTTTAATCAACTGTTGGCATTGAGCGCCGCCGGTGCACGCGAGAGTGACGAAGGTACGACCGAGGACTCATGCAGAGATGACTACAAGAAGAACGAAGTGACGGCAGGCATGGCACGTGCCTGGCCACGATGTGATTGGACCAACCGAGGACTCACCGAAGTCTCGGTTGGGTATACCATACTGGAATCAAGTCAAGTTTGGTGTGCGCTAATCAATGTGATGAGAGGCAACAAGGAGAGCAAGGAGGACAACAGGGAGAGGAGGACAGTAAAGTAGATTTAGGCTTAACAGTAAATCTCACTTCGGCATTTGCCCTCTTCATCGCAAACAACAGCAAAACCAACAGGTTAACAGCCGCACAAGCTCAAGCTCCACGACGTCGACCATGACCACGACCAGCAAGAAGGCCGAAGTCATCCTGGGAAGCGACAACTACTTCCATTGGGAGTTCGCTATGCGGTTGACGCTAGCGAGAAAGGGGCTGCTGGCACACGTGCAGATTGTGAAGGACCCGGCTGAGATGACCGAGACCTGGCTGCTGAACGACATGAAGGAGCTCGGACTCATCGCCCAGGGGGTGGCGGTGGAGCACCGTACGACGATTCGGTCCGCAACCTCGGCCATCCATGCTTGGAACACTCTGCGGGAGTTCTATAATCGGACGACCATGCACAACCGCGTGATGATGACTCGTCCTCTCCATGAGTTCAAGACGGAGGACGGTGCAACGATGGCGAAGCATCCGGACAGCTTTGATGAGCTGATCGTGGGTTTGCAAACCCTCGGCGAGCCTCTGGATGAAAGCCGACAGCTCGTCATCCTGCTGAGCAGCCTGCCGGTGGAGTATGAGTTGATTGCATCGATCGTCGAGAACGCCAAGGACGTGACTCTAATCGAGGTCAAGGAGAAGTTGCTCAAGGAGTACGAGCGTCAGGAGAAGAAGGAGACCTCGGAGCGTGCATTGAAGGCTACATCGTTCGGAGGCAAGGGCTCGGACCGAAGGTTCGGCCAGAAGGGTAACGGCGGACGAAGCCTCGGCGGACGAGCCGTCGGCGGGCCAAACGGCGGCGGACGTAGCTTCGGTGGACGAAACGTCGGCGGGCGAAACGTCGGACGGTTTAAGGACAAGTGTTTCAACTGTGACCAAGTCGGCCACATGAAGCGGGACTATCCGGAGCAAACTAACGGTGACACCAACGAAGACTCGGTGTTCGCCGTTGGGGAGGAGCGATCGGCTGGGTGGCTGATCGCCAGCGGTGCGACGGCGCACATGACGCCACACCGCGATGACATGTTCGAGTACTCGGCCATGGTGAAGGACATGTACGTGACCATCGCGGATGGGAAGAAGATTCGCGTGGCTGGGACTGGGTCGGTGCGATTGACGGGCATCGACGGTAAGCGGATTCGAATGGTCGAGGTACTCCACATACCCGGCCTCGACCGAAGGTTGCTCTCGGTCGGAAAGTTGGCTGAGCGAGGCATGAGTGTGGAGTTCCAGCGCATGTCGTGTGTGATCTGGGACAAGTCGAGGGAGATCGCTTCGGAGAAGAAGATCGGCAAGGCGTATGTGTTGGACTGCCATCAAGACATGGCGTATACTCGGGGGTTGACAGTGAGTGGGAGTTATGGCACGCTCGCATGGGACACCCAAACGAGGACTCGTTTGCGAAGACTCGGCTGGCGACGACGGGCGTACCGATGACTCGGAAGAAAACGAAGCCTCTGTGTGGAGGGTGCATGAAGGGCAAGCAGACGGTCGCGCACTTCCCTTCGCGCTCGCAGACGAAGACATCGCGTCCACTGGAGCTCGTTCACACGGATGTGATGGGTCCGATCAAGACTCGGTCGAAGGGTGGCGCGAAGTATGTACTCACCTTCGTGGACGACTCGCGTTATGTCGTGGTGTACTTCTTGAACAAGAAGAGCGAGGTTTCGACCAAGTTCAAGTCGTACATGAAACTCTATCAGAACCAGTGGGGAGAGCGCATTAAGTGTCTGCGCTCGGACAATGGCACTGAGTTCGTGAACAAGTCGATGACCGAGAATTGCCGGCAGAACGGGATCCTGCACCAGAAGACGGTCCCGTACAGCTCGCAGCAGAATGGTGTGGCCGAAAGGATGAACCGAACACTAATGGAGAAGGCTCGGAGCATGTTGCACTACAAGGGTGTGGTGGGCAGAAGCAGTCAGCACGGCCGCGTACTTGATCAACCGCTCGACGAACCGAATTGACCAAACGAAGACTCCGTACGAGGTCTCGTTCAAGACGAAGCCTCGGTTGGACCACCTGCGAGTATTCGGATCGGTCGGTTCCGCTCACATTGACAAGGCGAAGCGCACGAAGTTGGATTCCACCCAGCTCCAGAACGTGTCCGACGTGCGAGGGAGCCTGCGATTCTGCTTGGAAATGAACCAGCAGAGGGGGAGGAGTCGAAGGTCGACGAAACCGATGATTCGGACAGCGATGATCACTTCTGGCCTCGATCGCCCAAGCGTCCGAGGTTTGACGAGGACAGCTTACTTGCGGAAGCTGTGCTGGTATACGCGGCAGATGTTGGTGATGCAGACGATGCACCAACTACGTATGAGCAGGCTATGCAGAGTGACGA